GAGACCCGAGCTCTTGAGAAATCTAAACGCAACGATGCCCTCGCTGCTATTGTGATGGTCTCGCCAGCGTGCAAACGAGCAATAATCTGTCAGCGCCGTTTTTCCCACGTGTTTCCCAATGTCATCACTATACGCATAGCATAGATCGTGGTGGTTTTGGCCGCTGTTGGGCCCGGCCTGCTGCTTATGTTGGGTGTCCAGCGAGTCGTCCCAGCCTTCGTAGTACACGAAGCCGCGGTACACCCATGTGACGTAGGAGCCTACCGCGCCGCCAGTCCATGCCGTGGACATACGGGTTGCTCTGGATGCCCGTCAAATGTGTGCCAACAAAGACGAACTGTTGTTTGCTGGGCATGTACATGTAAAGGTGGTCGTTGCCCAGCCCAGCTTTGCCATCGCGGAAAGAGAAAAACATGGAGCTGCCGCATGGCCCAAAACGCGGGTATGTCACGTCTTTGAACTTGGGATCCGTCATTGGCAACCCGGGGAGGTGGCTGAGGGTTGGCGTGAATAGCGAAGGTCTCCATTCGAAATCCGTCGGCCATGTGGTTATATCGGGGACAGAGAAGCGGTATTTCAGGCTTGAAAACAACAGAGGCGTCAGCAGGTACTCATCCGTTCCCGCCGTGAGCGGCAAGCTCGCGACTGTTTTCTGCTGCTTACGCATCACAATGGTGGTCAAAGGAAAGATGAATGGTGCCGTCTGCTGAGCAGACGCCCATTTGAATCGTGTTGTGTCCATCGTCTGTCGTTTGCGCGTAGTCGTCGAACACCATTACCTCCCACTCGCCACGGGGCAATTGCCTCCTCGCAAGATGGACATAAAGAGGTTCTGGGGAAGCGCCCGATGGCTCTGATTCGAGGAAAGAATAAAAGCAGGCATACTGCCAGCCATTGAAAGTCACAACTGCATCCTGCTGGAAGGAGTAGCAGTTAATGCTGAACCTCCTCCGCTGCCCGGAATCTTGGCCGAGGACTGTGACATTGGGTTCCGGGAGCATCTCGGCGTCGGTCGAAAGATGCGAACTGACCGCGTCAAATCTACCCGACGGCCCTGCACCAGGGAGCTGGAACAAACACGTGCTTGAAATAGCATTGCGGCGGGCTCGTACTCTCTGGAGATTGTCACCCCCTCGTGAGTGGTGTTCTCCAACACCTCCAACACACCAAGCAACCAGCTGATGGCCGCTGATTCGTGGAGAAATGGTGTCTGGAATAATCCACGACAGGGATCGGCGCCTGGCACCCAAGCATCGTAGGCCCCGGCAGTGTGGGAGGAGTGAGCAGCACTTGCATCAGGCCCATGCCGCTCAGTTTGGAGAAGGGCAAGAGGGGGGAGGTACTTCTGGATCGGTGGTACGGCACAAGACCGGTAACAAGTTGGATAAATTGGGGTTCTCGTCTCGACCCGCCACGGCGGCTTGTGATTGGAGAACGTTTCGAGTTTGAACCCCAAGGTTGGAGCAAACGGTGCCGATTGTAACCAAAACTGCTGCGAAGATAAGATCTCACTTCATACTCTGGGTATCTGGATCTCCGGCTCCGTTATTCAACAGTCTTTTGATGTTTTCTGGTGCTTCGAATCGATGTTAGCATCTTCCAGCAAGCCTCATCCTCATAGTTTCCGTCGGACCGAAAGAACCATGACAGAAGATGACTTGGTTGGCCAAGACTTCAGGGAATTGATAGGCGTCCTTGGCGCCTTGTTTCCCCATGTTTGCTCTTTCCCTCTCTGCCCCAGTCCCCGTTGAGGCCCCTCCCCCGCCTTTTTTTTTTTGCCCCAGCTCCTCCGCAGTGAATCCCAGGACCCCAGTCTCCCTCGAGCCTTTCTGGCCTCTGATGAGCCTCTCCCCAACCTTCCGCCTTGGGTCAACTCCACAATCCACGAATAGGCTAATACGGACATGGCATCTAAGACCAACAACGCGAAGCCAGCTGTGTGTACTAGCGTGCAAGAACGGGTCGTGTACGCGGGCGACGAGATAGTGCCGTCCCAGACTTGGCGTGCCACCATTGGCCCCTCTGCCGAAGAACTCAACAATTTGGAACACACCATGGAGACCCTCCCCCAGGCTGCATCTCTGACAGCTTGAAGCAGTTTCTCCTTCCGTGGACCCGGATCCACCAGCCGCTGGTCAGATGAGCCCCGCGCCATGGAAAGTCGGTAAAGTCCAGGTGTTCAGTGAGTGAGCGCCAGACTGGTTGGTGGCCGGGGGAATTGCACGCTTCAGTTCAGCGCCTCCGGTTATCCCAAGGCCGTCTTGGCTAGCACGGCTGGGTGCTGGGCTGGAAAACCGTTAACCTGCTGCAGGGAGAGGACCCCCGCTACCGCCTCCTTTTGGTGGAAAAAAAGGGAAAACGGATGGTGGCCCTGGAACTCTCCGTCTTAGCGCACCACGGCGGGACCACCTGGAAGCACATGTCACTTTCAAGCAAGAAGCCGGTGCAATACTACCTTGAAGCGAGATCGTCCGTCGTTGTCTGTTTGAAAAGAAACACCAAGCTTCTCCGCACTGGCGCACCATCAAGGGTGATGATCAAGGGTGGGATTGCACATGGGGTCATCCGGGATTGAGAGCTGGACCCCCCCAATCAACATCGAGCATGCCGAAAGGTGACCGCGGGCCCCGGTCTCCCGCGCGAGTGCTCAAGCCTGATATCGCGGAGATGCAGTGCGACTACAAAAAGGCCCGGATTGCTGTCGCCGATGTCTCAGTGCTCCGAGTTCCGGCATCTGGGGTCCGTTGTTTCCCACCGTCGCCTTTAATACCAAAGGCTCCCCCCCCCCGCCCCCCTCCCCGGATTTCAACCGCCAGGTTCACTTCACCTCCTTCTCACACATTGACGTCGCTGGGCGGATATCCACCATGTCGCTTTCTGCGAAGATATTGCAGAAAATCGTGCGGAACGAGGCCATGGCCTCGGATCCGCACGAGATCTACGGCTGGCGTGTGTATCTACTTGCCTGTTCGGTGAGTCGTCCCTTGATCTTGGTCACTGGTCTCCGCGCCTATTTATGGCTTCAATTGCTGACTTCAGGCTATTCCCCGCACAGGCCTGCTTCGGTGCCATGTCCTTCGGATGGGACTCGTCCGTCATCGGTGGTGTTATCGTCCTGGAGCCCTTCGTGGAAGACTTTGGCCTGGGTGATCCTAATTCCCCCGCATCTGCCGCCCTCGCTGCCAACATCGTCTCGACTCTCCAAGCCGGCTGTTTCCTCGGTGCTCTCGTCGCCTCTCCCATGACAGATCGCTTCGGCCGGAAATGGTGCCTCATCGGTGTGTCCATTATCATCATCGTCGGAATCATCATGCAGGCCGCGGCTAGCGGCAACCTGGGACCTATGTACGCTGGTCGTTTCATCGCCGGTGTCGGGGTCGGCGCTGCCAGTACCATTAACCCCATCTACGTCTCCGAGAACTCCCCGCGTGCCATTCGTGGCCTGCTCACTGGTCTGTACCAACTCTTCATTGTCACGGGTGGCATGATTGCTTTCTGGATCAACTACTCGGTCAGCATCCACTTCCCCTATGGCAAGCTCATGTATATCTTCCCACTCGCCATCCAGGCGCTCCCAGCTGTGCTGCTGTGTGTGTGCATGTTGATGTGCCAGGAGTCCCCCCGCTGGCTGGCCCGCCGGGACAGGTGGGAGGATACCAAGAAGGTTTTATCTCGCATTCGCAACTTGCCGCCCACGCACCCGTACATCCAGGAAGAGTTCCAAGAGATTGTCGACCAGCTCGAGCACGAACGCAACCTGATTGGCGATGCCACCTTCTGGAACCTGCAACGCGAGATGTGGACCATCGCTGGCAACCGCCGCCGTGTCATCATCAGCATTGTCCTCATGATCTGCCAGCAAATGACCGGTACCAACGCCATCAACACTTACGCGCCCACCATCTTCCAGAACCTCGGCCTGACGGGCACCTCGACTTCGCTCTTCAGCACGGGCATCTACGGTATCGTTAAGGTCACCAGCTGCATCTGCTTCCTGCTCTTCATGGCCGACTCGCTGGGCCGCCGTCGCAGTCTGCTATGGACTTCCATCGCCCAAGGCCTCGCCATGTTCTACATCGGCCTGTACGTACGCATCGCACCGCCCGAGAAGGGCCAGGAGGTCCCTCCTGCTGGCTACTTTGCTCTCGTTTCCATTTTCTTATTCGCCGCGTAAGTCTCCCGTTAACTTTGTTCGGCCCACGCCGAATCACTAACAATCCTGGCAGCTTCTTCCAATTCGGATGGGGTCCCGCCTGCTGGATCTACGCCAGTGAGATCCCCGCCGCACGTCTCCGTTCCCTCAACGTTTCCTACGCGGCCGCGACGCAATGGCTCTTCAACTTTGTCGTCGCCCGCGCCGTGCCCACCATGCTTCTCACCGTGGGGAGCCACGGATACGGGTAAGTTTAATCCCCACCTCACCCATCCCCCATTCGAAGACAAGATCGAGAAACTAACACGCCGTCTTTTACCAGAACATATCTCATCTTCGGCAGCTTCTGTTTCGCCATGTTTGTCTTCGTCTGGTTTTTCGTGCCCGAGACGAAGGGCCTCTCGCTCGAACACATGGACGAGCTGTTCGGTGTCACCGACGAGTCCAAGCCGCTGGCCGGGGGACAAGGGGCGATTGAGGGCGAGAAGACGAAGGAGAAGGCCAAGGAAAATGATAAAGGGGAGAAGGACAAGGACGGGCCACACGCTCTTCAAACCGAGGTGGCTTAGATGTGTGGAAAGTAGCTTGGGGAGGGCCGAGATGGGCCAGGTCCCTGGTTTGTTTTTGCTGGTTATTATGAGTACATATTGAGCTCACATCGGCCATTCATGACTTTGCAACTTGCCCTTGTGTTGCTGTGTTTGGTGCCGCTCACTCACCGTGATCGTTGTCTTTTGTTCGCATTGCGGATGATCAAGTCTCAAGGATGCATAAAGACGCCTGGAAATAAGAGGCACAGAGTAATCATTAAGAGGCGTCAAGCCCTATCTCTCATTGGTATCGCGATATCATCCCATAATGTGCCTAAAACAGAAAATGCAAATTGGCTTTGGCGGGGGGGGGGGGGGGCGGCAGCCACTCGGATGTTTTCGAGTGAGATGCCAACCCGGCCATCTGGGCCGCCCCAAACACGCTATACATGACAATCATGACGTGACTAGCACGAGTCGGCAGGGCAGGCAATATTAGAGCCCTTGGTGCCGCCATCGACGCCAGCAAGCGTGAGGATGGCACCAACAACACCGCCGAGACCCTCGCCAGCAATGAAACCTAAGTAGCGAAGCAGGTTAGCTTTATGCACGCGGTGGGTTGGCCGAGCGGGCGGAAGAACTTACCAGCAGCGACAGCGTAGCCGTAGATATCCCAGGTCCTCATGTCATACTTCCTCCAGAGAGCGGCAACGATGGCGCCGAGCAGCGCAGCGTTGGCGAAAACGGGGGCGGGGATGACCCAGGACAGGGCGATGGCGCCCCAGTTGGGCAGCCACTTGCGCAACTTCTCGCGCTCGCCGACGAGGAAGAAGTGGCGGACGACGACCTGAATGATGGAGACGACGCCCATGACGATGGCAAAGATGCCGCTCTTCAGCGGGATCGAGACGTTGGGGTCGGTGACGGCCTGTGCCACGGCGGCCCACGCTGACACGGAGGGGACGAGGAAGGGGCAGTGGGCATCGGACGCCTGGTTCGGCTCCCAAATGCACGGGTAAGCCGACGTGAAGAGTACAAACAGGCCTGGTCCAAGCCAGACAGAGCAGAAGCTACCGATGGACTGAGCAATCCATTGCTTGATGGGGGAGGTGCCAATGAGGAAACCGGTCCTGAAGTCGCTGACGAGGGCCGTGGCCGTGTCGGCACCGCCCGAAGCGAGGGCGCCAGCCACCAAGTTGATCTTTTGGGCGTGCTGGATCGAGTAGCCGCTGTTCGACGTGGCACCGCCGAAGATGAGCTGCGACGCCTTGGAGGCAGCCGTGAGCGGGGTGGTGTCGGTGACAGCGCCGATCTGGATGGCGAGGAAGGAGAAAAGGAAAGCGAGCACGACGGCCAGGATAGTCAGGCCGGGGTGCATCTCCCATTGGAAGTGGAAGATGATCATGCCGACGACCAAGGTGACGAGCAGGCCAAGGGCCCACATCCATGTCTTGACCTGCTGCTCCTGCGGGAAAGGGTCCTCGACCACGTTCTCGTCCTTGATCTGGTTTGAGCCATGCTTGGCGAAGAAGGCGCTCGACTTGCCCCGGGCAACAAGGACCGAGTTGATGCCGCGGCACGACTGGTTCCAGATGGACTTGGCGCCGGACCAAATAGCTTTGTACTGAACAAACAGTTCGGCCATGGAAGAGCACACCATGACCATGACACCGGGCCACAAGAGCCAGTACCGAGGAGAGGGGGTCTGCTTGCCGAGGTTGCTGAGAGAGTTGAACGAGTAATAGCCGTCCCATTTGGGATCGCCGCCACTCTGGTCGATGCCGATGCACTCACCGTAGTGCACCAGGGCGGGTCCGATGATAGCCCAGGCCATGACGGAACCAGAAAACATGGAGATGGCCGGGTTCAGACCGATCAGAATGCCGGAACCGATAAAAGCCGGGGTCCACTCAAAGTACCAGCCCCACGACTCGATGTTCATGGCCCAGCTGGTGTGGCCGCTCCAGATGTGAATCCAGGTGAAGACGTGCCAGTCGTAGAGAATTCCGATCGCGTAGTATGATCCGATACGGTGGACGAGGGCACCAGTAAAGCAAATGGCGAGGCACTTGAGCTTCTTGATGGCGTCAATGCTGCCCGCGGCGCCGGCGTGCATGGAGCGGATCGTCAGGGCAACGGCGGTCGGGGTCGGGAACATAAGCTTCAGCTCGCGGGCGACCTGGATGATGAAGAACTTGCGGAGCGGGGTGACGTAGAAAATGCCGATGAAGGAGGTGACAAGGGTGATGGTGAAGATGGCACCAATGTCGTCCTTGGGCGAGTGGCCTTCTCCCATGACGCCGAGGCGGTACATGGCGGGGATTGCGGCGACGAAGATGCCACCGGTACCGCCAGCACCAGTTGCAGCAGCCTGGACGATGGAGTTTTCTTGGGGCCCAAAAAGACCGCCGATGATGGGGACCTTGCCCGCCCTTGAGAGGAGCTTCAGGACGCCGTAGCCGAAAATGGCACCGAACATGTTGGCGCTGAACGTGAAACCCGTCTTCAGACCTGCCGAAGATGTCAGCATTGGCCGCAGGGGAAATGTGTTCTGCTCGTCGCCATTGTGTCCTGCGGAGCAAACCCTAAACTTGAGATCAAGTGGGTGACTCACCGAGATATAGGTTGGATGCGCAGACCAAGGAGCCTAGGATACAGCCAACAACGACCGCTCTGATGGTGAGCGGGTTCTCCTCCGTCGGAATCGAGGCGTCCATAAGGAGAGGGCGGAAGAGGTCTTCATCTTCCAGCTCATCGGCCTCAGACCCAGCCTTTTCGATCGCGACATCGTGCGTCTTGAGATCGGAAGTATCCTCGATGGGCGGCTGGCTCTCCGAGAACGGGCGAACCGTCCCGGAGACCGCAACGGCCTCGAGGGCCTCTTTCTCGACAGCCATAACGGCTAGGTTCTGTATCGGGGTGTCACTCAGATCGAAAAGCGCGCGACCGCCAGGGGGGTGAACTCCCGGCCTGGTTTGGCGAGGGGACGATTGACGGTGCCGGACGGGAATGTGGTGCGAGATGAGGAAGACCGGGGAAATGGAAACGGGGACGCGATGGCATGCAGCGTGTATTTAAAAGCGGCCACAAGTCGAGTTTCGGTCGGTGGTCGGCCGGCCGCAGCAGGTGCATCAGTCCAGACGAACTAACTGCCCAGTGCGGTAACTCGAAGCCGGACCGGAAACAGTGTGTGTGCGTTCTGGCCTGCCCTTTTCTGGCCAGTTCTTATCCGGGTGCCACTTTAGACCGGCTTCCCTTGCGTTCCTGCCATGTGCTGCTCCATCCTGGCACCTTTGGCCCCCGTGATAAGGGAGGGGAAAATAAGATGGAAACACTTCTGCCGGGCTTGTGTTGTGTGGCAACGCACCCAACCATCATGCCTGAGGTGGGATTCGTGGGTGTTCCGAGGCCATTGACATCTTGGCGGGCGATTGAGCGGCCCATTGGCAGTCTGCGCTCAGCGATTCGCCGGAGCAAAGAGAGGAAGCCCAGATTAGGCAGGTCGACTGCCACCATTTTACGATGTAAAGAGGAAAATTGGGGCCGGTCGCCGGTTCCCGAGAACAGCGGCATGCGACAGATTGAACATCGTCGATCTGGCAAGTGGGGTCCGCCCAATCCCGTTTGTGGGGTATTTTATCCTTCCTCGAGCTTTCCTTCCCGGTGCTTGGCCGATAACCTCTTTTTCGCACAGTGCACGAAACCACAGGGAGAAACAATCTCAGCCCAGCGAGGGAGCACAGTTGTTGTTCTATTCCGTCTTCACAATAGAAGTATGTGAACATGTTTCCTCCAATTCACAACTTGTCAGCCAGCACTGTATTTTATTGTAATCTATGTACACAATAAGCATTCCTGCTGGGGAGGCGAGAGGATCTGCAAGCAGTCAATCGCCTCTTCCTGAACCGTGTGAGCAAGTGTCCACACAAGCGAGTTTCGAGAGCAAGGGCATGCAAGCATGTGATTGGCTGGTCTTGTGCGCTCGTCGTCGAAGAAGGCAGGTTGCCGGCTCCGGCCTGCAGATGCCACCATGCCGGGAACAGCAGGCAGTTAGGCCGGCTCGCTTAGGGGATACTGTTCCCTACCCGGCGTTCGAGGATCCCCGCTCTGTGTCTGGTTGAAACGAGTTGCTGCACTAGGATGAGATGATCCTCGCAGCGCCGAATGCGCCACTGCGCGTGCGTGCCCAAGATCCCAGATCCACCGCGAGCGGATTCCGCGACCGTAACCGGCTTGGGCAAGTGGGATTTTTTCTGGGTCTATCGAGAAGGATGAGCTGGGATTTTGAACAACTCGATGACTCGAAGGGCGCAGATGTCACGATTTGGTACCCCAGTTCTCGACAACTCGGGTGGAAGATCCGAAACTGGTTTATACGGCCGCTGCATCTCGATTAACAAACATACTGTGATACGTCGTCAACGGCCTGGAAATTGGCCCTGAGCAGGTGGCAATCCGACGGACACGGAATCTGAAGCAGCAACTCAGCATGGACGTTGGCCGCCTCAGTCCTCGCTGCTCGCAACAACCATGTCGAATGGCCCATGGGGAATTCTAAATGGGCTCGAAGTGTTACTGCTGGGTAGTAGTTTCAATGCAGGGCTCTTCGTCGAGTTATTGGCAGCTAACACACCTCCCAGCATGAAAAAGGCAGGTACATGTTCAACAAACACCCCTCAACCTGGTTGCCATGTGATAAGTGTCCGTTCTTGGACCCCACGTACCCACCATCCATCCACCCTTTCGCCGTCCTTCGTCATCGACCCGTCACCCGATTTCGGGCATGCGCGGAGCATGCCGGTGCTGATTCCTCCAGACTGGTGGAACAGAGTCACAGACAGCGGGTGCATGGGGGAGTCCACCATTCCTCACAATCTTTCGTCCCAACGCCCCGGATCCCCGCAGGCACCATACCAACGTGTGACATTCCGTGCAGCAGTCCCTTTTCCAATCTGAAGATGGGCTTCACATGTCTCGGGCCCGTCCCGCAGCTATCACCAATGCGGGGGGCTTTGTGAATGACCACCCAAGGGGGACGCTCAGTGACGACCCGACAAAACTCAAGCCGCGCTGATCTCTGTCTTTATTATTGGCAATTGATAGGGGTGCAGTATCACTTTTTGATGGGGGTGCAGTATCACTTTTTTTTGGCCATAGGGTTAGGGTTATGTATGGGGGAACCAGAAATCCAAAAAATCTGGCTGCGACGGGGCCTTGCAGCGCCATGGCTCAAGGATTCTGTGCCCTGAATTAGTGGGGGGGGGCTGCAGATGAGGGCGCTGGAACACACCGTTCGCAGGGGGGCGGCGGCGCGCAGGGGCGCGCGGCGACTCAATTGATCCGACTTGATCGCTTGTTCTGGTGCGACACGGCTGTCTTGGCTGTTCTGGCGATTGTGGTGGTTGTGGTGGAAATCGCTGTTTGGCTGTTCTGGCTGGCTCTGGGTGGCTGTCTTGTCCGTTCAGAATCTTGCCAAAGTTGGATTTCTTTGGATTTCTGGCCCCCCATACATAACCCTAACCCCGGCCCCAAAAAAAAGTGATACTGCACCCCCATCAAAAAGTGATACTGCACCCCTATCAATTGCCTTATTATTATTACTCTGTATAGGTACTGAGGTACGAACTTCCTTTTCGGACAACGACTCCCCCGCCTTTATACATAGTACACACAACACCCTCCTCCATGGTTCGGCCCTCTGTTCTTACACCTTCCCTCTGCCTCAAAGTCGGCCGATGAACATCGCCAGTTGGCAGGATTGGGAAAACAGTCCGTCCGCATGTGTTTGTCCCCTTATTCCCGTCGGCTAGTAGAGCAGCTCGGAGCAACCACCAACACACTCGACCACCTGCCAATCCAGGCAAAGGGGCAATTGCTGGGCGAGAGGGCCAATCATATGACAGGACAGCCGAGTCTGTCAAAACTGCCAAGGTGTCACGGTGTGAAGCGCGGGTGGCAATTACGAGATCTCTCGAGCATCCTGAAGCTCCTGCACGTCGAGCTGGTTCGAGCATCCCTCGCCACTAACATCGGACGGGTACCGCCAAGTCGAAAAAAGCTTGTCTCCTGCCAATTCTGCAACAGCCCGCCAGCGAGACGCCCGTTCCGTGTGGAGCCACGGCGGCAGGTTGGCTGGGGTGGGCCGCTGTGCGCCGATACCGCTTTAGTGATGCTAGGATTCCTTCCATTGCTACTGTGCTAAAGGAAGGAATCCTAATAATAAATGACAAACTGGCGGAGTTGACACGAAGCTGGGTTTAGCGGGTCCCATCTTTATTTGCTAAGGGCCCGAGCCTAACGAGGACCGCCTGTCAATGAAGGTGGCCTTCCGAGTACTCCGTATACCCCGGCTGAGCATAACGACGGAGCGAGACCGTCAGATAACAGAGACTGGAGCGCTGATAGGTATATACACGTTTGCAAAACCCCGGGTTCAATTCTGCTCTTGAGCAATGCGTATGGAAGTCATGGGCATGGAGCGATGGGAAATCCAATTAAGATATCAGGTAGTTACCCATGTGTATGTTCCGGCACCCGGAGTCGCAGATGGCGAGAACCATAACCCCACAAAATGGACTATAAAATTGACATCGATTACAGGCAGCACCTGGTAGGTTCTCCCATGGGTTAGCTGATGTTCTTGTAAGCATTCGAGTTACCCACCTTGGCCCAGATATGTTTGTGATCCTGCTGGTTATTGTTACTCCGTTTTTCAGTTCTAATTTATTCCCGTGGGAAGCTGGGAGTCAATTGAAATCCTTATATTTACTATAACTACAAGATCTTTTGACAATAGCTGAGGTTTCCACTCAGTTGTATTATAAAATCTTGACCCAGATTCCATTCTCCGTTGCGCGGAGTGATTATCATACACTCTCAGATATTGTTGGCCTGAGACCTGAAGTGGGCTCGAAACCATAATCGTAACGCGGACGGGTGTCAATACTTGCTTTTAGCTGACTTGTCAGCAGGTTCTTGCCAGCCGTTACCAACCCGGTCTTCATCCGGCCTAAGTGGCTCAGGCACCTAAATAAGGCAGGCAGCACTTCTCAGGTCGTTTGGTACCCGACCTTATGGTTCAGCCCAAACTTTCACAGTAAAATGTTAGGAAGGTAGGAGCAGCTGCTTCAGTTTTGTGACCGAGAAGGAACCTCAAACTACCACCCATCGATGGATTATGCGAGTCGGGCTTAATGATTCAAGAATCAAACTTGAAAGGCCTCTGCCGAATGACTTACGTCGTTCTTGCGTTTTGACTATCTAGTTGAATGGACCTTAACGCTCTTTTACCGGACTCGGCAGTTGTGGTTCACTGGTGAAATTGAGGACCGTCGATGATGATGAACCCCGTTGCCCCCCCGAGATCCCCGCAACATGTTCTTCGTTCTTTTCGTGGCTGAATTTCAAGGAAGACCACACAATGTAAATGACCCGTTAATATTAATCAGGTGTTCGTGCGGAGGGCACCTGCCTGCAATTTTGACAAGAAAGCGATCCATCCACCCGCACCTACCGCACAAGTGCCCAGTGCCATCTGATGTGCAAGCTCCACGTCTCTTCAAATTTCACCGGGCCTCATCTCGAGAAAATAATTTACCAACCCTCAAACTCCATTCTCAAACCGACTTGAATTTCGAACAAATCCCTGTTCTTCGCGGACCCGTTCTTCTTGGCCTCGTTTCAGAGACACTGCTGCTCCATCGGAGCGATTATCGCACGCAATGCGCTTCTTCTCTGCTCTTCTTGCGGTCACATCCGTTGCCTCTGTTTTTGCGAGGGCCTTGCCACCCTTCTCTCCAAGCACCGGTGCCGATCGCCGCGGTGCCTTTTCTGTGAAGCAAGTGCGCAACCTCAACTTTGTCCGGAGCGGCCCGGTGCAGCTGGCCAAAATCTATCATAAATATCACGCTCCTCTTCCGGACGATCTCAAGGCAGCCGTCAGCCGCATCCGGAGCAACACGCTGAAGCGGTCGAATGGCACCGTTGAGACGAACCCAGAGGCAAACGATGTTGAGTACTTGACGCCGGTTTCTATCGGCACCCCCGAGCAAGTTCTCAACCTTGACTTCGACACGGGATCTAGTGACCTCTGGGTTTTCAGCTCCCAAACCAAGAACAGCGAGGTCGATGGACAGACCGTCTACAACCCAACCAAGAGCTCTACAGCGAAAGAGCTGAAAGGTTACACGTGGCAAATCTCTTACGGAGACGGCAGCTATTCCGGCGGCAACGTCTACACAGACACAGTCACGGTTGGCGGCTTGGCCGTCCCATCGCAAGCGGTCGAGGTTGCAACACAGGTTTCTGATGAGTTCACTTCCGACCCCAACAACGACGGCTTGCTCGGCTTGGGATTTAGCTCCATCAATACGGTCGAACCGAAGAGTCAGAAGACGTTTTTCGACAATGCCATGCCCAACCTTGATTCCCCTCTCTTCACGGCTGATCTCAAAGCCAGCGTTCGTGGGTCCCTAGTGCCATTCGCCCTGTTTCCACCGGAGCTATCGTACTGACGTCATCACATTTGCAGCTGGCCACTTCACCTTCGGCTATATCAACCCAGATGCTTACATCGGCAATATCACGTACACACCGGTGGACAGCAGTGGGGGCTTTTGGGCCTGGAAATCATCGGGGTATGCCGTTGGGTCGGGAAGCTTCAAGACCACCACGTTTCAGGGCATTGCGGACACGGGTACGTCCCTGCTCCTTCTGCCCAGCTCCGTGGTCTCGGCCTATTACCGGCAAGTCCGCAACGCAACGTACGACAGCACGCAGGGAGGATACACACTCCCGTGCAGCGGGCCGGTGCCCGATTTCGCCTTCGGAGTTGGAGACAAAGACACCATGATCACGGTGCCCGGCGATTACATCACCTACGCCCCTACGAGCTCGAGTGGGGAAACCTGCTTTGGAGGTATCCAGCCGGATACGGGAATTGGGATTTCCATTTATGGGGACGTCGCCCTCAAGGCTGCTTTTGTCGTTTTTGATGGCGGTAACATGCAGCTGGGCTGGGCATCCAAGACCTTGCCGCTATCCACTGGGCCGTAAGAACTCGAAGTTCCGACAATGTCGGCTAAGGTTGTTCAGCTCAACGACACAAATTTTATGTGGGTGGCTGGTTCTGCATTTTTTTTCTCATTTGTTCTATCACGTTGCAGTTTACCCCCGGTCTCTTCTATCCCCTGGTGGCTCGAGTCAGTTTCGGGGGAAAATAGACTTTATTTAGCTGCTGAAGACACTGGGATTAAGATCTCGATTAGCTTACCTAGGCGGTTGTTGAACTGTTCCGAGCTGAAGAGGAATGGAAATTAGGCTGATATATTTTAGTCAAACCTCGATGAGTTCCTGAGGCCACAGGAAGACATGAAATACCACTTGAATCGGCTGCCAACTCCCGAACTTGGTTGTTGAAATCGGCCGTCCTAGGTTTATTGTAGTTCAGACCTGAGGGTTTCGGAGCCCTATCGATCTTGGGGATCCATGTAAAGGGGATTATTCCCACCTGTGGTTCTGCATGAGCAGTGCTCACCTTTGTCAACACAAAAAAACAGTTCGTTGGCATTGAATCAATATGACTGTTGGGGACTTTGTATTGCGTGATGTGTGTTTCAAAAACGGAAAAACTGCTGGAATTTCCTGAACAGGCAAAAATGAGGTCGTGCCCGGGTTCGAACCGGGGTTACTGGAAGGCTTGATAGCAATCAAAATCCAGAGTGATAACCACTACACTACACAACCTTTGTCTAGAAGGTGCCACATCGAGATCCTAACAGGTGTTATGGAATTCCACACTACCTACAAAAAAAGGAGTGACCGTGCCCGCTGCGCGCGGGCACGCCAAAGGAGCCCGGAGGAACTTTCCGGCTGCAGGTAGGCCCCATAGCGAAGTCAACGATGTAATTGTTAAAGGCGGAAGAAGAAGCCATCTTGACTGCAATGGAATTATAAACAGTATCAGGAGATGATTGTAGTTTAGGTCAGAAAATCCGGATGGAAAGAATGTATCGAGTTCCTTGGATTGGGAAAATGGAGCACCGCGGTGTAAAAAAGGTGGCCTCTAGCACCGGTTTGACCTCATCGCCGATGTATGACGCCGCATTTTTGAGTCTCCAGTAAGCTATATCGTCATCTAGGGGCTTCAGTAATCAGATCCCGTAAAGATTAACCTCTGTGGCGTAATCTCACCGAGCTGATAGTTTCCGTGTATTTTGTGCGTCAAAGAAGCAATTTGCTTGGCTACCCTTCGTCACGGAGACGACCATCGAGCCGTAGGCCTTGCTTGTATCCTTCCTGCTGAGCCAGGCAATCTTGGCAATGTTGACGTTGTTCTCCGTAGTCGTGGTTCCAGGAATGGGACGTCATGGCCGAATCAGCGCAGACTGAAGCTGCTGACGAAGAAGCGGGTGCGTCGCTCTAGTAGTATAGTCAACCCATAACAGATGTTGACCCTGCAAACCTCATCTTTCGCCACTTTTTGACAGAAACCCGATTTTTTTGTTCGTGTTCGTGATTGTCAAGGAATGTGCGACGGAGGCATGCAAAAGCAGGAGCGAAGCAGCGAGTCACAGGGGCCCTGATGCCAAGTGCGGGTTAGCGGCTTTTCTCCGGCGATCCGATTGGCCAGGTGTCAAAGCATCAAATGGTTTGTGCACCACCACCGCCAAGACCAACTGCGAGATGCTGATTCAAGGAAGCAGAATGCAGATGACGCCAGACATCGAGATGCCATCGAGAGAAATCGAAAGGAGAAAAAGCCAAAACTCTACAGTGAGAAGTCGACAGTACAGGTTCAAAATGACACCGTTTTTTTAGTGGGGACATGTTCGAAAAAGGAAAGAAACAAGTCACTGGTCCGAGGATGGATGGATGGAATTTATTTCGCCCGGAGGCACTGGGCCTATAGGGCCTTAGCACGCTTATTACATCCGGATCAAATCGGTTTGCCTTTAACTCGTACACACTGGTCCGAGCTTAGACCAGGCCATGGCATTTTCGACCTAAGGAACCTGGAGTTCCTCCAGGCACAGGCACAGGAGTGACCGTGCCCGCTGCGCGCGGGCACGCCAAAGGAGCCTGGAGGAACTTGCCGGCTGCAGGTAGGCCCCATAGCGCAGTCAACGATGTAATTGTCTTTTTTTTTCATTTCATGATGGTTATTGACGAATGCTGGGAAAGTAAGGAAAGATGGTTTCTCCAGTCAGACTAGCGTCTAATCGTATAGTCGCGCCCTCTTTTTTCCCGCTGTAGACCTTTTGCTTCGGATCGGCTCCGGAGAAGTTTGCTTCTTTCTCTTCCTTGTTGGAGTGGTGTCCACCGGAGCGAGTTGATCTTCCAACAATTGCTCTGCGTCTGAACCGTCGTCGCTGTGACCGGTATCTTCTTTGTGGTTAGCCTAGTTAGCGAGCTTGAAGGAAGTCATACCTGAGCTTGAAATTGTAAGCACTGGCTCGGCGTTGGTTGTGGTCGAGTTCAATGGTGCGTCAAGGATGGCCGATGGCTCGGTTGCCTCATGATCCGGATGCTTCCGGGGCTGTGCCCGGGTTTTTTTCTTTATTTGCCAATGAGTTTTGGCCGCCAACGGGCGAGGAGAATGGGTTCCAGCTCGTGATTCCTTGCGGACCGGTCGAGCGTGGTGTTGTAGGTATTGTGTTAGGTCGTAAGGGTGTCGTGTTGTGAGCGGTTAAGCTGCTTTGTCGAATAGACTCCCAGTCGTCTGGGAGAATGACTGGGATGCGAACGCTTCTGTCCACGAGTTGAGGGCCTTGGATGAGGTTTCGATCGAGAACTCCCAGGAGGCGACCGCTGCATGCGATCCAGGATCCTCTTGGAAATGGGTTGACAGCTGTTCGCATCCAGCCGGTTAACGACATTGGATTCGAGGGCAAGAACGAGGTTGCAAGGAACATATCGGAAGAAGAAAGATGCGTTGGAAAAATATGGTCATGTTGATCGTCGACGAGATCAACCAGGTGGGCGGACTCACGCTCGCGGCGGTAGACAGCCGTCTGCGGCAGTACAGGGACGACCAGCATCGACCGTTCGGCGGGATCCCAACGGTCATGTTCTTTGGTGACTTCTTCCAGTTCGACCCCGTCCTGCAGACCAGCCTCCTCTTACCAATGCCTAGGGACCCCGGTGGACAGAGACCGGACAGCTCGGCAAAGCACCTAGCAGCGCATAAGCTGTTCCTCCAGTTCGCGAACGTCGTCATCCTCGGCGAACAGGTCCGCGCAGCCGGCTGTCCAAGGCTGCGGGGCTTCCTCCGGCGCCTGCGCAGTGGGGAGCAGACAGAGCTGGACTTCCAGCGGCTGAGCCAACGCCTCTATACACCGTCGTGCAAGTACTCCTTCGTAGATGCCCTGAGAGCCATCACGCCTCTGAACCAAGACCGGTGGGACCTGAACATGGCGGCCGTCGTCCAGTGGGCTCGTGCCCACGGCAAGCACATCTCAGTCTTTGTGGCCAAGCACGATACTGAGTCGGGGAAGCGATTGAGTGCGGGGGACCTATGCCACGTGCTCCTCTACGGAGATGACTCGCAGCTGCCGACTTCCGGCCTGTTCTTCTACGCGCAAGGCATGCCGGTCGTGGTGACTCGCAACCAGTTTGTCGGGCTGAAGGTGGTCAACGGGGCGCCTTTCACGGCCGTCGACATCTTTCCCGACCTCGCCGCCGGCACCATCGCCCTCGCCAGCGATGTGACTCTTCATCTTGGACCGCCGGTGGCCGTCCTCCTTCAGTCAGACGATAGCGCGGGCCTCGCCATCCCCGGGCTCCCCAATGGCACCATCCTGATCAAGAGCAAGACGGTCGCCATCCCGAGCCAAATGCGGGGCAAAGAAGGCAGATGGAGGGGCAAGCCCGGTTTTCGGTGGGTCACCCACAGAACGGGACCTCTTTGTACACCGGCCTTCGCCATGACAGATCAGAAGAGCCAAGGCAAACAGTTCTCGGATGTGCTCGTCAACCTCAAAGGCGTCCATTCGAGCGGCACGGCGACGCGGCCCAGTTTCATGAGCCTGTACGTGCAGCTGTCGAGGGCGCAGAGCTGGGACGGGCTGCATCTGTTTCGGACACCGGCGCGTGGTGACTTTATCGAGCCCAAGAATGTGCTCGACAAAGACATGAGGGACGCCATCCTCAAGCTGAAACGACGGGGCGAGGAGACCAGGCGGCGGTTCGAGCAAGACCACAGGTCTGAGCCGTGGTTTCAAGAATGGGCTGCCATGCCTGAATCTGGCCAGGGTACTGAAACCGATGAAGTCGAGGACGCGGCGCTCTGGCGAGACCCTGGGGTTTCCGAGCTCAGATTGTAGCACAGCTCTCCAACGCTGCTCTGTTTTGGAGCTCTTTTCTAGCGGAATAAGCTGCTTCAATTAATATTTTTATTTTCCTTCTGACCTTGTTGGCCTGCAATCTGCATCCTTTCGTGGTCGTCGGCGAACCTGCCCGGGGGTACGCCATCTCATTGGCCCTTATAAGCCGGGGCCAGCCCCACAGCCGACAGACCCCAACAGACCGTCCGTGCACCATCACTGCCAAGCCCAACTTCGAGGCGCTCATCGTCAGAGGCAAGTTCCTCCAGACAAAGCAACATGGCTACTTCCACAATCGTTAGGATAATGACAGTAAGTCTTCACAGTTTACAGGGAGAAATGGAACGGCTTTTTTTTATGGGGCGTTTTATGGGGCGGAAGTAGTCCGTGCTTGGAGTATACCATGGTTTTGCTCGGAAAAGGAACCATCCGGAAGTATACTCGTTCCTCGCACGTTCCTCCAGGCAAAGGAACCTTCCGGAAGTACTCGTTCCTCGTACGTTCCTCCAGGCAAAGGAACCTTTCGGAAGTACTCGTTCCTCGCACGTTCCTCCAGGCATTACACAGTAGAGCAGGCCATGGCATTTTTTTTGGCCTAAGGAACCTGGAGTTCCTCCAGTTCATGGGGCTAGATCTTTGCAATTTCTTGCATCGTGCAATGTGGAACAGCACATATGATTGTTTGAGTGGATACTCAGAGAAGCAGAGAAGGCAGGGATCCAAGAGTAAAGAAACGAGGTTGAAGGCGACATTCCATGGCGAACGCACAGCGGCGTGCAACCAGCCTAGCAACCTCAAATCGCTCTTCTGTGACGCCAATTACCCGCAGATCGGCTTGTAATGTGACAACTATTACACTACGTAAACAACCAAAGATAACATCTCAGACCACCGATTGTAGAAGATCGTTTTGTCATCCAAACCAAACATTATTTCCCGGGTATACCACCATCCTCAACGCCTGTATCCCATGCACCCCGTGTTCCGCATGCATGTCCATAAAGTCAACGTTGAAAGCTAAAGCACTCGCCACTCAAGTTCTTCCCAACCCCTCCTAGTCTTCTTGATCGTCATCCCCTCTTAGGGAAGCTTCTTCTTCAAGAACCGGAACCTCCACCACAAACTCAGGTTGCGCCTCGTCTGCGTCAGGTCCCAGGAACGCAAAGGCGACGGAGCTCATATCGGCCACGCCCTTTTTACCAAGAACGTCGGTCTCTCGTGCGTTGATGGACTTCCACCCTTGGGCCAAGTCGCTGGGGTTCTTGGGCAGGGCATAAGCCACTTTGGCGTCGCTGTCGCTTGCGGGGATGGGGATCAACTGTGGCTGGCGGATCGAGGCCGTCAGACCGTCCGGGTAACGGTCGCGGAGGATGGAGAGAAGCTCGGCGGTGAGTCGGGAGAAGGGCCAGTCGATCATGGCCGAGATAAAGACGGTATGGATGCCATATTTCAGGCGGACCATGACTTCGGGATCATCCACGGTGTTCGCTTTGCTTGGCTGAGAGTGGGCTCCGTTAGTGGGATCCGTGCAAAGCGGCTAAACAATTTCCTGGGTACGTCAGAGATCATACCATAGTGGATACCCTCTGTATTTTTATTGTTCGTAGAATCGGGATGATGTGTTTCGTGGTGTTGTCGAGTTGGATGAAGTGTGTCAACGGCAGGCACCCGCAGCGCTCGCCCTGCCAAGTGCCGGATGGAGGGGCACTTGGTCAATGGCCCGACCCGAACCCGCAGAATCATGAGCCAGCTGAGTGGGGGGGTGGGAGCTTGGACCACCATCCATCCCTCTTGGACCTTCAATTCCCGGGAAGCATTTTCAGGAGTTGCATCAGACTGAGAACTTGAGCTACGAAACCCCGGAACACTGGCACGACTTACTCCAGATGACACTGCCCTGTCGAGAAGCTAACTGATACGATTTGAAATAACCTGCGTTTTTCCACCATCGGGCCAATTCTTCAATTGTACCAACAGAATGGCTACTACGGACGACAAGACACCCTCGCGAATGCGCGAACTACCGGCCCCTCCATCTCGTGCTGAGATCGACGAGCTCTACCACAACGCTCGCCTCTCTCTTCCGGCGCCCCTGAGACTTCCAATGGCTTCAGCGCTGTCGTTTTTTGCCGGATTCACCCTGGGAACAGCACAAGGTGGTAAAATGGCGGGTCTGCAGTTTCGAGCCGAGCACGCACACAAGCTACCCACAAGCACGACGGGCTGGTTTCTTTACCACAAAAGCAAGAATTACCAGATGGCATATGGTGGGATCCGGGAGGGATTCAAGATGGGATTCAAAGTGTCTTTCTGGACGACAGCTATGTTCGCAATCGAGCAAATGTTTGACTCGTATCGCGGGACCGCTGACATCTTCAACACGGTAACATCATGCGTCACCGTGGCAGGGGGCTTTAGTCTTTGGAGTATGGCTCCCACATATACATTTTTTACGATACGTCGTCCGATGGTTGCTAACACCACGATTGCACTGCAGATCGTTTCTCCTTGCCGATGACTGCCCGGACGACAAAAACCGCCCTTGCCGCCGGGTTCGTGTATGGAGGGCTTCAGGATCTCTTGGGTGTAGTGAGGGGTCGCCCCATTCGATACGTCGACTGGGTCCGACAGAAAGTGGGCGCACCGCAGCGGAAGGACCCGAGAAACCAGTAGAGGGAGCACACTTCTCTTCCCGTTGTGTCGAACTGGTTGGCGGGTTTGGCTCCAGTCCGACGACGACAACCCCCACGCTCCTACAGCGCCGATAACGGGTCAGCTGACCATCCTGGCATATCAATCGACAGACGGGCGCCGACATCAGCCGCGCCCAATCCCCTGTCAATCAATCGCTGGAAGCGAGAATTGGGTTGCCAGGGAGCATCACTGAGATCTCCCAGCATCTCTTAAGCCGGGCCGGGAGTTCACCTGACCTGGATTGACACGCTCAGTGGGCCCTGATTTCACTGAAAGTCCAAAGCCGCTTTTGCGATGCGCTCGGCTCCTTGGCAGGCCCCCGCTTCAGTGGCTCTTCGAGCTCTGGATGCTCGAGATGGGCCGAATTGTGGTGCCGGGAGACAGGGGGCGCCCCACATGTGCGGCTATCTGCGGTTTTCCGATGGGCGACCAACGATAACATCATCGGCGCATCGCGCGCCACGACAAAGGCACGCTGTGACGCCGATGAACAAACTCATCCTGTTCCGTAATCCTTACGGGATTGGTGGGTTATGGTCCGTTTCGGCCATGATGGCGTGCGATACCGGTGAGAGAAGAGCCGAGCAGCGGGTTGTTGGCCGATTATATCTTCGCAGTTCGTCTCATCATCGGCAAGGTCAATGATGCAGCGCCCATCTCTCGACATCCCCTCAACCTCTTATCTAAACCCATTGGTTGCCCATTGGATTGTATCCTATATTCCGCCTGTGACCTCCACCCCACCCCGTAACGGGCTTCATACAGTGCAACGGTTGCCAGGAAGCATTGCGGTGTCACTGCCATGGCGCCGTTCTTCAGATCGGTACCTGCCGGCATTGTTCCGCCAGGTAGCATAACGAGGGCAAGACCGACCATTGCAGCCATCACTATCGCAGGATCTTCTCTGTCTACTCAGAATTCCTCGTCGCAACCACGTCAGAGCTACTATAGCGCAAAGAAATCTAGGAAATCAACATCTACATCATCACGGGCCTTGCACGCATCTTCCAACCAGGCCTCACCTGTCGGGCATCCAACGATAGGTGGCCCGCTTCCAGTCGATTTACCACCTCCGGAGCATCAACCAAAAAAGATGGCCCGGCCGGCACCGTTGTCTGTGCTGCCATTGACCAATGTGCTCCGGTCCCTCATGACGACGACCGTTTCATCGTCCCCACTCCTACTCCCACCATCTCTAGCCATGATGTCTATCCTGGCGAACACCTCTACTGCGGTGCTCAACCCAGACAAGAATGCAATTCTCCGGTTTTTTCTCAAAAAGACGTTTTATGCCCAATTTTGCGCCGGCGAGAACCCGCTCGAAGTACGACGGACGATCGAATCGCTCAAGACGATCGGCTTGAGCGGCGTCATTTTGGGTTACGCCAAGGAAGTCGTGCTTACCGAAGCACAGATGAAGGACCTTGCCTCATGCAACACTGGCGCTGCCGCGGACGATTGTGTGCGAACCGAGATCACTCCCTGGGCCAACGGTACCATGGAGACGGTACGGCTTGCCTCGCCGGGCGATTTCGTCGCGCTAAAGTTTACTGGCGCCGGCCGACAAGCGCTCTACGTCCTCTCCCAGCGCTTGGAGCCTTCCGAGGCGTTGTCATCCGCCATTGATAGCATCTGCCAACTCGCTGCGGCGCGGGGTGTACGCCTGCTTTTTGACGCAGAGCAACAGGCCCTCCAGCCAGGTATCGACGACTGGTCCATTGAGTACATGCGGAAATACAACACCGGGGTTAACGCTGTTGTCTATGGCACATACCAGGCGTACCTCAAATCGACACCATCGACGATCAGCAGGCACCTTGCCGCGGCTCGCGAGGGTGGCTTCACCCTCGGCGTCAAGCTTGTCCGCGGCGCCTATTTGGGTTCCGACCCCCGCCATCTCATCCACGACACCAAGGCTGACACGGACGCGGCTTACGACGGCATCTCTGAAGCGCTACTGCGGGGGCAATGGAGCGCGGGACTCGAGCCACCGCCGAGCAAGCCGGGTGAGGCTGCCGCGTTTCCCAGCGTGAACCTGGTCGTGGCCACGCACAACCGGGAGTCGGTGGTGAAGGCGCGAAAGATCCTTTCTGAGACCAACACCGGCGTGGACGTCGCGTTTGCCCAACTTCAGGGGATGGCCGACGAAATCAGCTGCGAGTTGGTAACGACCGCCGCCGACAAGACACCGCGCGCCTACAAGTACCTCGTCTGGGGCTCGACTGGCGAGTGTATGAAGTATTTACTGCGGAGGGCGCACGAGAACAAGGATGCAGTGCAGCGGACACGGGCTGGGCGGGATGCAATGCGGGTTGAGTTGTTCCGGAGGTTGAAGAGTCTCTTTGGGTTGTCGATGTAAGCAAAACGGCGGCTTGGAGCCGGCATTCCACATGGTTGGGCGCATGAGGCGGGGAGTTTGGAGCGCACTGCATTTTTTCCGATTTTTGATGCCATCATGACCTCGCAACATCCGTCTGCGAACAACTTTCGAGTTTCTTTCTCAGCGAGCATAGGTAGCCTAACTTGACTGGTTGATGACCCCATGCACTTTCCATGATCATGATCTCGCGCCATCCCCTACCATCGCAGCGGTGTTTGAGGCCACCCGACGAAGCGGAATTGGCGCATTGTTTCCTTCGCTTTGATCCCCCACGCGTAGGGCAAATTCCCACCGTCCTACAAATGGAAGCTCCAAAACATGTCCCTACAATGACTTCTCCCCGATATCTGGTTCCATGAGGTGAATATCTGGGCCCTCGGGTGCTTGGATATCGTAAGCTTGCTGTGTCCGGTGGCGTTTACCCACGTCCAACCAGCTTTCTCGCGAAGCCGTTATGATTAGGCAAGCAAAAGTTGTGATTTGACGGAGGCATTGTCCTGTCCTTGCTGCCGTGTCCACGTAATTCGCCGTCTTTCCTTGTGCGGTATCTGACGCATAAGACCGTTCATGTCCCTTTATAAGACCGTTCATGTCCCTTTATAAGACCGTTCATGTCCCTTTATAAGCCCCGCAGCGCCATACACATGATGGCAAGCCTCTCACTCTGCCGTACTTTTTCTTCTTCATCTGCAAGACGCTCCAGCGCGGGAACCCCGTTAAGCCGGTAATATTTCCGCACCTTTGGCCAGTCGGTCGCTTGAGCAAGTTCCGCGTCCGTTAGGGGTGTTGGGGTTCCCTTCACATGTTGTTGTAGGTGGTCCCAAATGGCTTGTGGTGTTTGTGTTTGGGTCGAGGTCGTTTCTTCCGCAGGCGGTGGGGATAAGACGACCTTGATCACGACCAAGTCCTTTGTCTTTCCGGGAGATATTCCCCACCTTCGGTAAGCGTCTGCGATCTGGGCGAAGTCAGCACGGTCTCGACACTCGGAAGCGTAGTGGTTGCAGAGAGTACATTATTGCTTGTGTTCAAGGACACCACGATTTCCGAATGAACATTGGGTGTTCGCAGTGTCCCGTCCAATAACACAGTGACGGCACTGTAGACAGCGGCGAGGAGGTGGGACCGGGAGATAATGGAAGAAGCGTCGATGAAGGCATACTCAAACTCGCTATTCCGAGAGAGCAGTTGTGCGTGAAGAAACTCGCAGTTCGACACGTCCCGGAAGAAAGCAGCATAGATCTGGCAGGTTGGAGGGATGTGCTCGAGATTGAGCGTTTCAAGAGCCATTGTTTCTGCTTTGTTGGGATCAATTGTGTTATTAATAGGTGGACCTTGTCGGTTGTAGTCGATAATCACGGCGCAACTCTGAGTTTTGAATGTAGGTTATCGGAGTGATCAGGCTTCGGACCGCTTTGATGCACGCATGCCAACATGTGGAGGTTGACTTTGGAGGGGCAGCGAGGGGTTGACGCATCGCGACCGCCAAGGCCGAAATTAACCCTAACCCAACATCCCAACCTCCATGGTTCAGCTTGCGAAACCTGTCATCCGATCAGTGGGCCGAACGAGATGAGATGGGATTTTCTTCAAGCAATGCGCACATCACAAACAAAGAACCCTGCGACAGGCAAGGGGATTGGAACTTGCGACTTGCGACCGAGATGGCGCAGCGGTCGACCCAAGCGAGTTCTTCACCGCCTGAGCACCTATCAACCACGCTGCATTCTTTTTGATGTCGTGCTGTGACCCACGTTGATGGAAGCTTTTTTCCTGAGTGGAGAAAGCTAAGGGAACTTCCCAGCTGCGGTGTTGAGAGAGCCGGTTGCCCAGACTCTGAGGTGGTGCTGTGCGCTGGGCCCGGCCAGAAAACCCGACATTCTGGACGTGGTGCACCCAATTAGCAGATTCTCTTGGCAATAAGGCCAGGGTGCTGCCCCTGAACATCTGGATCTGGGGACGCGGCAATCTCCATTTCTCCCACCCGTCTGCCATCGGCAAAACCCGTCCCACTACCCGAGTCCCCAACCCGGCCAACCAAGCTGAGGCGCCGGCAGTTTCCCACGTTTCCCACGCGTTCGCATCGTGCGCCGTCCCATCGTGGTAACGATAATTGAAGGGATCCCCCACCGACGCCACGCCGCCCCGAGTTGGCGCGGCACAGCATCACGCCCAAGTACACCGGGACCTGCCGGTCGCCGAAACATACACGACACCATGCCCCAAGCCCGCCCTCCCAAACGGCCCAGCGACGACGGCGATGGGCCAGCCGATGCTGTCTCGGCGCCCAAGGTGAAACTGGCGCGTCTCGAGCGTGGGCCAGAAGAGTTTTCCAATGTTGTAAAGAGCAAGCTGCAGTCGTACACACGCACTGGGCAAGCGTGCGATCGGTGCAAGGTGAGCGCATGGTGACCCCAAACTTGGCGTTCGTCTCATGTGTTTGGGTTACTGACGTTTTGTTTTATCTCGATGATGTAGGTTCGCAAAATCCGTTGCGACGCCCTCGCCGAAGGCTGCTCGCACTGCACCACTCAAAACCTCGAATGTTATGTCACGGACCGCGTCACCGGCCGCACCGAGCGGAGAGGCTATCTGCAACAACTCGAGCGCGAGAAGGGTGCCATGCTCCTTCACATCCGCGGCCTCGAAAAACTGCTAGAGAACAACGGTGTCGAAGTAAGGCCGTGGCAGTTCCCCGGGTATACGACCACGTACCCGCCAGATATCCCCTGCGACCACCTTGGCGTTCCCGACCCGTCTTTCAAAAACCAATGGCAACAGGTCGGCTTGGTATGGGTGAAGAACAACCCCCAAAAGGCACCATCCAACGGCAGCAGTACCCACACGCCATGGTCGATGCTCGCGTCTAGGCCGAAAGACAGCTATTTGGGAGTGTCCTCGGACAGCGCGCCTCTTAGCTCCATCAAGGGGACGACTCTGTCCATCCTCGGGACCACCATCGACCTCACTTGCTTTGATGCCCCGGACATTGATGAGCCTCCTCCTGGAACCCCGATCGGCTCGCCGCTCTACAACAAGTCCGTTATGGCCCTGCTCCAATCATGCCTCAACATCAATCCCCCGCAGCCCAATGTCGAACTGCCCTCCAGAAATGATGCGTTTACATATGCCGAGTGGTATTTCCTCATGGTCTGGCCATTCCTTCCAATCCTACACAAACCGTCCTTCCTTCGACTTGTAAGTCACCTGGTACTCCCCGTGTCTCTGGACCCGTTGCTGATTCCCGCCACAGTTGACAAGCATTTACGACGACCCGACCTTCAAGCCGACGGTACCGGAGCTGGTCGTTGTGCACATGGTTTTCGCCACCATCTACTTCCAGTACGGCGTTAGAAACCAAGAGGAGCCCGAGAAGCACGCCCAACTCAACGAACTGTCCAACAAGCATTATCATTGGAGCTTGAACAAATTCTTTGACCTCGCCACCTCTCAGGCGGTGACGGCTGTCCAGGCCCTGGCCATGATTGTGGCGCATACTCGAAACTTTCCTAAACCCGAGTGCTCCTTGACCGTCGCCAGCTACGCGTTTGGCAAAGCGATCGAGATGAACCTTCACAGAGCTGTCAAGATACCGGGTGGTGGGACAACGATAGACAACGAAGTGCGCAAGAGAGTCTGGTGGACCATCGTCGCCATCCTGTGCACCTTGAATGGCCGGCTTGGCCGCCCGATGCCCATATCAGTAGAGGAGTTTGACGTCGACTTTCCTCTCGCGATCAACGACGAGTACATTGGAGAGGAAGGGATATTGGACCCTTCCAAGATCGGCCATTGCAACTACAGTGTTGGCCTGGCAGGTTTCAAAGTCACGCCTCTCTACATCGAGATGTATTCCAAGATCTATAGCGTGCGGCGCGACCCAAGCAAGTACATTCAGGTGGTCAACCAACTCGAGGAAGCGCTGCACAATATTGTGGACGAGCTCCCCGACGAGCTGAAACTGGATAAGTGCCAGCCCGCGAGCCAAATATTCGCGCTGTACACTCAAGCATTCTGTCTCGAATTCACCCTCTGTCTCAGGCACCCCTCCGTTTGTCTGGCTGATGAGGCCAAAATTTGCACCGAAAACACTAGGATCTGCGAGGAAACGGCTCGGCAGCTTCTCAAAGTGGTCGGGTCACTGTTCAAGTTGAAGTCATTGGACACAACATGGTATCAGCAAGCGGTTTACGTGGGCGCCATTTTCTCGACACTTGTGGCACACTGGCAACGGCGCCACGAAACGACGGCGTTTGAGGTTGCCGCTCTTCGTGAAGACATGTCCCTGTGGTTGAACATTATTGGAGAAATAGGACGGCTCCTAGGTAAGCCTCACAGTGTCTGTCAGCTTCTTACTTGTAGCTAACGCAATAGTAGGTACCGGTAATCGTCTCGCAACCGAAATAGGCGCCATCATCGAGCGGACGATCAACTGGATCGAGCAAGACATGGGTCGTAAGCCCGGGTCACCAGCCGCCCAGACTCCCATCAAGCAGCAATCTCCGTCATATCAACAAGGCGCGAAGTCGAAACAAACACACAACGCACTGGTGCCCGGCGGTGCCGCGACCACCAACTCTGAGCAATGTAACAACAGTGGCACTACGAACGGAAACTATTACGACTCCAGCGTGGCTACCCCCGCCACCACTTACCCGCCTCTCAGCTACGGCGATCAGGCCGCTGGCGGGGTTGCGGTTAGCCAGAGCAGTAACGGAGCAGTCGGCTCGACCGACGGGGCTCAGTATCTCTACGCAGCAGCGTCCGCAGCGGCGGCAGCAACGGCATCGAGTGCGACGGCGGCGATGGAGCAAGCAGCAGCGGCACAAAACCCTTTGATTGCCTTCGCCTCACAGGCGACGCAGCATGTTGCCGGGCAGGCGGCAGATAACTGGCCCACGCAGGCCCCGATGATGACACACAATGCAGCTCCGACGAACACATGGCAAGACTGGACAAATGCCATCCAAGACACCCAAGACCGGTATAGCGCCAACGCCCTTCTCACGCTCAACTCTGGACGGCCGGGTGAGGTTGGCGCCGGCGGGGTCGTTGACCACGTCAACCAAGGCGATGCAATGGCAAGCGGACATACAGGACAGTGGCCACTCCTACTATTCCATGATGGCTCTGGTGTGAGCGGTCCATGAGGACATCCTTTTTTCTTTGTCTTTATATAATCCTTTTCCCCAACTATTATTGATACCACGGTATATGGATTCTTTCCTTCGGTTAGCATGGATTTGGCTTGCTTCCTGGGCGACCTCTCGTCTGGATTTGGTCTCGACTATCTCTGGAGTCCGGATGATGTTGGCATGGTATAATATCTGGGTCACGCACTTCGGAACGGCGGAAGGTGTTCGGGAGTTTGTAAACGGAAGCAACAGGCAACAACATACTCAGCTGGCTTTTCAATGTTACATGGGCTCGGCGCTACGTATTCCCGGGATTGTTTTCAAGGTGTTTGCTGTCCGTGGCGAATTGGACGGGACCACATCTCTAATCGCCTCTCCAGGTCGAGGCTTTTTTTGGTGTAGTTCACTCAGGGGATTGTAAATTACAAGTGCGTGAGGCTGAAAAGACCAACTATGGAACCTGTTTACTGCCTTACCGAGTCTGAAATACCCTTGACGGCTCACTCAAACTAGCATCACCCCGAAAAAGAGCAGCCCTCGGCCAGTGAGGAGCGAAAGGTGTTGCTGGCTTGGACCGTCTAACCTAGACGATCAACAACCCGCTTCTTCCCTTAAGCTGATAGTCCAACGCTCCTGGATGCCTTTGAAACAAAACAATCAAGTTTATAATCCGAGTAGAGAGGGCTCGTTACCGCAAGCTAATATCTTCCGGCTCCTGGATATCCGCTTTGGCGCCGCACAACCGCTTAACGCTTCCACTATTCCCACTACCCACTACAACTCCTCATCTCCCATCACGGCGGAGTCTTATTGTTTGCGATGCTCCTCAAACCGCGCCGTCTCCGCCCCAGCCAGAACGCCCTCGACTTCTTTGGCCTGGCCCCCGTCGCTCACCGATTCAGCCTGCAGGATGGTTTGGTTGCGGCGGTGGCGGCGGCGGCGGATTATATCATCGATATAGCGCACGATGGCGAGCGCCAGCCCCGTCGTCAGCACGGCGATGTTGATGCCGAAGCCGCGCCGGTACAGCGGGCTATCGTCCTGCCGAAAGATCTGCGCGCCGTATATGCCGGCGATGTTGGCGCCCATGATGACCCTGAAAAAGGGGGTTAGCGCTCTGGTTTGATGGGGAGAAGAGGGAAGAGCGTACATTGCCATGGCTAGGGCTCGCACTTCGGAGTCTTCGCAGGTGAGTGACATCCAAGCGATGTTTAGGGGGTGCGAGAAGGTGCCGAACGTCTGTGTCCAAACGACACCAAAGTATCGGACACCCCGAAGGCCGGTGAGCTCGGTGAATATGCGATTGAACACGTAGCCCAACAGGTGGCAGGAGAAGCCTGCCATGACGGTCTCGCCGCGTTTATTGCTGAGAATCTTTGTCAGACCAACAGCTTACCACCAGCGAAGATGCGATAAAGAAGAGGGAGGCGTACAAACGATCAGAAACATAACTGAAAGCGAAAGACACGGGAATCTGAAGGAAAAGGCCGACAGACGCCATCGCGTTGCTTCTTAGGGCACCGAAGCCAAAGCTACTGACGATAGAGGGCGAGTAAGTGTCGAAGGCGCGTTGCGGACCATTATTTGATAGGGTGATCAAGGCATGGCACCACAAACGCCAGTCGGTAAAGGCGCGCCTGAAGGCGCCGAGATTGATATGCTTCTTTTTCTTGCCTTTCATTGGGTCATCCAACAGCACGCGTGTCTGCAAGATATGTAACTCTCGCTTGGTGAAGAATGAGAAACCTGGAAGGAAAGTTGGAGATGGGTTGCGGAACGAGTCGGGCAAGCAGAAGCCGAGGACGAAGCCGCTCAGAATTGTGAAGCCACCCATGATGACGAACAGCCAGAACCAGCCGGCTCGGTCTGCGACGCCACGCATGTGCAAGATGCCATACGCCAGTAGCTTTGATGATGCCTGACCGAATTGGTTTCCAAAGTAGAAGAACATGACGCGCTTTGCCGTCTCCTTGCGGGTATACCACGTAGAGAGAGTCCAGAGTCCGCCGGGGATAAAGCCTGATTCCGTAATTCCGAGCAGGAATCGTGTTGCGATGAAGGATCCATAGCTGTTCTGGAAAGCCTGGAAGGTGCTGACGGTTCCAAACAAAAAGAGCTGGAGCGTAAGCCACTTGCCAGGTCCAACACGATACAGGATCATGTTGGACGGAATCTCGAACAGCACGATGCCCAGCGATAGCATCTGCTGCCCGACGTTGAACTCGTTCTGTGTCACTCCAACATCTTGCATGAAGCGGTCGGTGATGGCGTTGGCAATATTACCACGGTCCAGCTCTGCATTTGAGGTTATGTTAGGTTTAGGACCTATAACGTGAGGAGATTGTAGGAGCGAGTGACAAGTAGGTACGTACGCAGACAGAAGAAGCCGAGGGTCAACAATGGCATAATTATGAAGTCCAGTCTACCAAGAAGCTGTCATTAGACAGGGACATCCAAAAATCAAAGGGCTAGGGATTACACACTTCCGCTTTGCTTTGGTCTCCTCCTCCGGAGACCAATCACGTTGCAGGGCAAGAGATTCCTCATCCTCACAGGGTGGCGGATACTGGCCCGGATCCGCCGACTTAATGTCGAAGCCAGACATGTTATCGGGACGTCACACTCTCTCGGATGTCGGCAGTTTTCCCGATGTTTCGGGCCGCGGAGATATTCGCCAAATGATGAAAAGGGAGCCGCGGAGTGGGTGTGAGAGGGCCGTAGATGACTGCCTAACCAAGCACATCATGACTCTAAAGATGCCGGATTTCCGGTGGTCCTTATACCTCCGGCACTCCACGTCCCACGTTCCTCCAGTCATGGGCTGTAGCAAGCCTCATGATGATCCTGTTGGAACGAGATGTTGTGGGTTGCTTCTGGGCGCATATGATAACATCGGCAATGTTCAGCACGCCATATTCCCAGCAAGCAGGCGGGCGTTTTCTATGGGTACATAAAGTCTTGGATAGCTTGGCCGCCCATGTCCAGAAACTTTCATTCTTGCTGCTCCCAAGAGCCTGCACAAGGTACTCCGTTTCCTCCCGCCAACCGCCTCCACACTTGGCACGCCCAAGAACGTTAAGAATCTGCCGATATCGTTCTCCTATTGTTTCAGACAAAGCTTGGTTCATATGGCGCCATCTCAGCCTCCGATGCTTCCAGTGTGGGGGTTTCGGAAACAGCTGTTTCTATATCTTGGCTGCGTTGGGTAGATGGCGACCACATTACGCCGGGGAAGCTGCACTTGCAGTAGAGACAAGCGAAAAACGTGTATTTACCCTTGACGGACGACCACGGATATGATAACATGGCTGATATATTAGAAACTCGAAAACAATAGAACGATACACGCAGTCTCGACCATCTCACAGTTCGACCCCCCCGCGCCGCGGCGAAGAGCTCCTCATCATGCGACTTGGCAAACGCTGACAAAAGCCGGGTCAAGCTCTTTTTCGAGCATGCCATGCCTTTTTGGCCCTTGGCGAGCGTCCCCGTGGATATGCCAAGTGTGGTTGTCAGCATCGCCAAGAGAGGAGTGAATGGTTGGGAGAGTGTCGTTGGTGGTGAGCGGCCCGGCTTCTTCCATTTGCAGGGACGAACATTAGTGGGCTACGAAAACTTGATGCCGACTCGGCGAGGCGAATTCGAACATGCGCGATAATAAATATTAGCGAGGGTGGTGCGCCGCGGTCACTCGGCTGCTAGCCTGCTGTTCCATGGTCCGATGGCCGGACTCAGCGGGACTTTTCGAAAGGTTGTATTCGGTGAATCTCGACAAAGGGATGGAGGAAGCCTTACTTATACAGCACGCACATATTGGTTGGATTCAGTCCGGATTCGGCAGCAGGGGAAGCTTTGCCTCGCGGTTGGCAAAGTCCGACCTGAATCAAGTTGTGGTGTCGTTGAAGCGGCGAAAGGTCCACAAGGGTCTAGAACGTCGCAAAACAGCCTCTGGCCAAAAAAAGCCGAGCTTCACATGGGAGGTGCCCCCAAAACCTTCAACCGAGAGAAAAGAAAGCCATTGAAAAGCCCAAATGTTTCTTTTTTTGGACTTGATTTCTTCTCTTTTATTTATTTTGCTTCGTTTTCTTTCCCTGTTCTTTCCTTTTTCTTTCAACTTTTTCTCTTTTCTTGATTCTTTCTCCCCTTTCGGGTTCGGCTTTTTTTGGACGGAGAATGCATGACATACCCTAACCCTCCAGGTAGCGATTGACAGCAACGTCCCTGTGCCCCTGACGGCCTGCAGGGGTCGCGCCAAGCCCCTGGACAGGACGCGGGACCCTTTTCGACATTTCCATTTTCGTTCGTTTCACTTTGCCCAACAACCGTCAGCAGCATCTCCAGTCGTTTGCTTCTTTTCTTTGTATTTTTTTTTTTACCATTTTCTTGTCTTACACAAGCACGGGCAGCGAGCGCGCCCGATGCTGTTGTCTTGATGACGCGTCTGACCCCAACGGCGCTCCTCCGCCATGCCCTGCGATTTCTAATTCCACTGTCGATCGCACTGACTGTCTATCTCTACCTCTATCCGGTCTTCAGCACCTGCGCGTTCCCGCTGCCGCCGGGCCAGAGCAGTTCTTCCGTTTCAGCAGATACCGGGCGAGCAGCATTCGTCGAAACCGCCAAATTGCACTGGCACTCCGCCACAGGCGCCGCTGAGAACCCGAACTCGACTATCTTCGTCCCATCGCGACCACTTGCGCCGTTCCGACTTCTCGCACTCGGTGACCCCCAACTCGAAGGCGACACATCCATTCCGACCGATTACCTGGGCGTCTTCCCCCACGCAAAGAGCTTGTTCCGACATGTGACATTCAAGTCGGGCCATTCGTCGCTGCGACAGCGCATACGGCAAAGCTTCCACGACATTGTCGACATCTTTTTCGAGGATACCTTCGATGCGCTCGAGTCGCTACGCAAACGTATCGACCTAGTCGGCAATGACTACTACCTCGCGCACATCTACCGTACTGTACATTGGTGGTCACGCCCCACCCACGTAACCGTGCTCGGCGATCTGTTGGGCAGCCAGTGGGTCGACGACAACGAGTTCTACCGTCGCGCCAACCGCTACTGGGGCCGTGTATTTCGTGGAGCGGAGCGCGTGCCGGATGATGTGGCTGCCTATCCGGCGGAAGAGTACGACTTGGCTGGCAGTCTCGGAGGTGGACCTTTCAACGAATCGACCGTCTGGACTCGGCGCATCATCAACGTTGCTGGAAACCACGATATCGGTTATGCGGGAGACATCAACGACGAGAGGACTGAGCGGTTTGAGTCTGCGTTTGGCAAGGTCAACTACGAACTCCGCTTCGAGCTGCCCCTGGCAAACACAACCGTCGCCGAGACCACCTTCGAGGCCGGCGCCAGCTCGAACCGTCTGGTACCTGAGCTGCGCATTGTCGTACTGAACGACATGAACCTCGACACCCCAGCTATCTCCACCAAACTGCAGGACGAAACGTACTCATTCATCAACAACGTGATTAATACCGCCGCTGCCGTTGAATTCGAAGGCCACTTCACCGTCATCCTGACTCACATCCCGCTGTACAAGCCCGAAGGTGTCTGCGTCGACGACCCGTTCTTCGACTTCCACGACCACGACGGCAGTCTCAGGGAGCAGAACCAGCTGAGCGCTGCCGCTAGCAAGGGGTTCCTCGAGGGCATCCTAGGCATGTCGGGCAACGCCAAGGCAGCCGGTCGCGGGCGTGGCAGGCCGGGTATCATCCTAAACGGGCACGACCACGAGGGTTGCGATACATGGCATTACATCAACCAGTCCATCCCAGAGGCGGACCGGCGAGCGTGGGAGGTGAAGCGATGGCGGCAGGCGAATGGGGCCGGCATCGTTGGCCAGGATCAGCTTCCGGGCGTTCGGGAGGTCACGGTTCGCAGCATGATGGGTGGGTTTGGCGGCAATGCCGGCCTGCTGAGCATCTGGTTTGACGAGGCTAGCTGGGAGTGGAAGACGGAATATGCCACGTGCCCCCTCGGGACCCAGCATTTGTGGTGGTTTGTGCATATCTTGGATCTAATCGTCGTCATCGGCATCTTCCTCTTTGCTGTTGCGACGGTGCTGTCCGCCCTCGGATTTAACGTGGACAAGTCTGTGGAGAGGTCGGTAGCGAGGTTGTGTACGCCTCAGAGGAAGCTTGCCGGCCCTGACACTCCCGTGAAGGGAGCCGACGTGGTCAACGGCGCCGGCCCGGGGTAGTGGGCCGGACCGTTATTGTATTAATCAGTATGTATTTCCACGTGTATAGAGATTACACATAACCATCTCATGTCAGCCATTGCACGATCGCCGCGCCAGTCTATACTAGTTTGTGAGAGATAAAGTTTGGGCGAAGTAATTTGCCCTTATTCAGACAGCCCATTCTTATAAACTCGCCATCAACAACAAAACCTCGGAAGTAGAACTAAAGCACCGCGAGGGCAACTCGAAACACCAAAAGAGTCGCGCCAGATCGTGGCCTGCCACAGAAGGCCCAGAAACGTCTGATGCGCAAGAAATAAAGACACCGGTTGGCTTGGCCAGAGAACCAAAGCCTCGAGCAGTCAATCCCCGAGCTCAACAGCATGTTCTCTCCCCTAAATCGTTTCAAGCACATTCACCAAATCCCCAACTCTGCCGACGATCGGTCCTAAACAGGTATCCCGCGATGGGACTGACTAGGCATGAGCCTGTTCACTGTCCTGTTCATTAGCGCCCAGGCTGTGTCCGAAATGATCGTTAGCGTCGACCGCCGACTGGATGTATCACTGTCGGCGGACTTACCGGTGGATGTCATTCATGGCGGACTGGAGGTCTTCTGCCATTTCTGGCCGAACTTGCATCTGCTCCTGCATCTGTTCCTGCTCCTGCATCTGCTGCTGTTGGTGCCGGCACTTGGTCTCACGCATATTCATGTGCTCTTGGTGCTGCTCGCGGTCTAGACTCTGCCAACCGTTCATCTGCTCCATCTCGTGAGCTTGGACATTAGATCCATCCATGTGCGACCGGGCGTAATTCTGGTTCTGGGGCATGGCACTGTGCTGCTGGCCGTCGATGTCTGCGGATTCGTTTTCTGGCCTCTGGTTGTAGCTCTCATGGTTCCTCACTTGCCGAACCTTCTCTGCCTGCCACATTGAGTCTGCGGCCTGTTGCTTCTGGACGTTCACTGGATTCTCTCTGTCTGTGGGCAGGGACACCTGGCTCTTGTCCTGGTTGGCGTTGGCGGTGTACTTCACCGTTCCCTGTTGTTGCTCGCCATGTTCGAGTTTGGCTCGCTGGTCCCAAGCCTGACCAAAGACCCTGAAAAGCTCGCGAGCTTTGACTGCGAAGTTGTTGATCTTGTTCTCCGAGCGACTAACGTCCGTAGCCGCACCGTGGTCCTGGATGTCCATGGCCTTTTGCTGAACAGCGGGCATCTCGCTGGAGCAAGAAGACATGACCGAGCCCTCACCACTGAGCTGAGGCTCGGTAGCCCTCGTGAGTTGAATCATCTCTTTGGACTGCCTATAGGGAGCTGCGGCGGCGGCGAGATCGGGCTTGATGTCATGCTCCTGGTCCAAAAACATCTGCTGGGAAACGCTCAAAGACGAATCTTCCATCATCTCTTGCTGGACCGGCTGGTTCGAAGAGGCAACCATTTTCATGGAGGGATGCATGGAGTCGGGGGATGACCCCTTCCCGTGAACCTCTCGAGTAGTATCGAGATTGTCTGCGTTCACTCCCGGGGCATTGGGGTCACCCCGAGACTTGATCCACGGCAGCGCATTGGTGGTGCTAGCCGCAAGAGCAAGGGTAACTGCAACACGAGCGATATGCATGTTGAAGGGCTCGAAGGGTAAAGCTGAGTTGGGACTCAAGGCTGATGCTTCTGGACTGATGGCTTGGAAGCTTAAAGCGAGGAATGGAGGTGAGGGTTCGAGGTGCCGTTGTTAATGGTCAAGGAGAGGAGCAGAGGAAGGGGTTTATATACATGAGCTCGGCCAATTCGTAGTTGAATTCTCCGAGGGTTTCAGATCGCCTCACGGGATAACTCCCATAATGCTCATCCGGTATTTTGGTCAACAGGGGTTCTGTTTGCTTCGAGCCGCGTTGAGCGATCTTTGAAATATGCTGTTTGGCGAGGACAAGGCAAGTACCCATATGATATCCGTCAAGGTCCGGGGCGTGACGGACGAACTCGAAACTCTAGCTGAGCCAGAGTATCGAGAGGTGAAGGCATTTCCCCGTTTGAAAAGCCCACGAAGTTCCATGCGTGGCTGGACTTGGTGACATCCGCGAGGGTCCATGCAGCAGGCGGCCTAAGGGGAGCAAACACAGACCAGGAGGAACAGTAGTGAGTGCCCTTGCTCTCTTGGGACTAACTTTCCAAGACCGCCCCACCGCTTTCTTCAGCGGTAGCAGTTGTCGGAGTGTGCACAGCGAGAACCCATTGAATGCTTTTCGGCTCCGGGGGTAGCTCTCTCCCATCTCAAGTGGGTCATGTGGTTTCGTCCCATTTGTCTAGTGTAAGCTAGGTAGTAGTTGACCAGGGTGGATAGAGTTTGGCGTCGCCCTGGTGTTCGTTTTTCTCCGCCGAGTTCTTGCTACGGGGGGGGGGGGCGGGATACTGTCGTCTGATTTGAAACCGGGGTTGTTAAACGGTTGCTGGTTGACCCGTTCCTTGTCCGACGTTACCGTAAAAACGATAACTGGGCGGCTACGCCTGGAAAGTTTTCTGTGCACTCAGCTGTGTTATTATACGTGTTTGTACTTCGTGTATCCCGTTGGTCGCCCGACGGATACACGTACTACTTGAGGTATTCATTGGGGAAAAGACTCTGACAAGTGGATCTGTGAGAGAGTGACCCCTGGTTCAGATGTTGTACATTTTAGTTATTGTATGAGGTGTATGGTACAAAGCCGAGAAGTTTAGTCTCCCGGGCCATTACGGTCGTCTGTAGCTCACACCCTGTTGTACACAACTTTGTGCTCCGGATGAATCTAGAGAAAGAAAGTGGGGTTTTGAGTTTGTTGACACATGGCCGAAGGCAACAACGTCAGGCCCCGCGCCGTTAGTTGCGCTTGGTTTCACTGTTACTGGGGCTCCCACCCTTCTGTTCTTCCGGCGGGGTGAACCAGCCGAAAAAAGACGACTTCATGCTCTTCATGGCCTCCTTTTGGGCCTTCTCCATGGCTTCTTGTTCCTCCTTGAGCCACTTCTCACCATTCTTGCGGATTTCCTCTTCGAGCATCAAATAGTTTCGCATGCCGCGCTCACGCGCGATATCCTGCAACATCTTTCCCTTGGCGAACGCCTCCTGGGGGTTCTCTTCCCCCTCGGGAGCCACCATCAGACTCATGTTACTCGGCTTGAGGCCGAGATGGCTACTGAGCCAGCTCATGCCACTTCCGCGGGAGGACTTGGCCTGGACCCGTTTGTTGTGCTCCGCGCGAGCAAGAGCTTCCCGGCGGGCAAACTCGGTGGGGATGTGGTGGCCATCAAAGGACTTGATGACTTTGCGCACATCGTCGTACTGCATTGTGTGGATGAATTCGAGGAGCGGGACCAGAGACACCAGCTCCTTGTCCTTGGGGTCTCCAGTCCACTTGGGCAGAATGATGGCATTTTCGGGCTGCTCGCGCACGTGCTTGGCGTTGGTGTCGATGACGATCACCTTTGACAGATCGCGGTTGAGATATGACAGATCCTATCCCATGGTTAGCATGTGAGGTACTGGTCGGGCGCAACGTTGTCGCCGGTGACGATCGGCACTACCGTACCTTGATGATTTCACCGTCCTTGTACTTGGTGGCCTCGCGGAATAACGGCCACATGATGAAACGGTACGGGTCAAGCTTGCGCACCAGGGGTTCCCCATTGGCGAACGGGACGGTGGTGAAGAGGACGATCTCGTAATACTGGCTGAGGTAGTGCAAGAAGTAGTCCACGCCTGGGCGTTTCGCCACCCGCCAGCCATGGTCTCGCGACCACTCGCTGTGCACTAGCATGTCCTCCAAGCTGATACACAGTGTGTAGGGTCGCTCAAAGGACGGATCGGGGTCGGGGAGGAGCTTTTCGAAGGCTGGTTCCTGGTAGTACGTCACGGTATCGCCCATACGGGCCATGGCGCGCTTCCACCAAAGACCAATGTCCCAGCCGTTGGGCACCTCGGGGTTCTTTGACAGTTCATCCTCGTCCCAATCTCTGCCAAGGTACGCCACACCAACGACGGCGGACAGACCAGTGAAGCCGAGGGCCCACAATGTGAGCTTCTGGCGGCGGCGTTCTGTCGATGAGACGTACGCTGACGCGGGCAGCTCGCCCTTGCCTCGACCCCCTCCACTCCCAGCCTTTTGGGCCACTTCCTCCTCAATGGCGGCCAGCGCAGACTTGTTAGTTGCGCCCGAGGTTTCATATTCGAGCGTCGATGGGATGCCTTGTGTGAGGTTGGGAAGCTTGGAGAGGTCTGGTATCGGTTGTTCACTTGGTTCTTGGGGGGCGGCAGCGTCGTCCGCCTGTTGATGAGCGGGCTCTTTCGGAGGTTCGGGGGTAGGTTTGGAACTGCTGGGTGGTGGCTGTGACGGCTTTTGTGCGGCTTGGTTTGGTGATGTCGCGAATCGCGCTGGCTGCGGTTTGTTGTTCTTTGTCATACCCCGACTCCAGATGACAGGTAGACTCCGCGGTCGAAGCGTAGACGGGGCCGCGCGGGTCGCCGCTCGGAGACTTGCTGCTGGGCGCGCGGCGGCTCGCGACAGCATCATGACTGCTGCCCCGTTCGGGTTTGGGAGGTTCTGCAAGAAGGGATCCAAAATCTATCCGTTTCGGAGATGGCCCAGGTGTAATTGACTGCTCCTGGTGTTCGAGATGCCAGAGAAAACTCAAGTCGTCAACTCCAAGCCTGCAAAAATCCACCGTCGGCCTTGCAGCGCTCTTTTGGAATCTGATGGACTTTTCTGCCCTGCACCAAGCACGGACCATCTAAGCTAGCCAAATGTGATCAGCTTTGTGGAACTAAGTTTCGTCATCGTTCAGATTGGCGGGCTGCGAGGGCGGGCAATTTTCGGAGCCATCTTGAGCCCTGCTTCGCCCTCCACTCAGGGTCTGCGACCCGCAGCGTTCACGCGCCCCACTTCCATTCGCCCCGCCAAATCTGGAAGTTCTCCAAGGTGGCGGAATGTCTCCGAGTTCGCCCACGTCGGATTCAGACCCTCAAGTCGCAACTCCCCCCATTCTAGGAGTTTTTCCTATCCATTGACTCTTTCTTGATTTGCACTTTTCCGGAGCGTCGCTGTCTCCGACGTCAGTTTCTGCGCCGATAACTATTTCCTTGAGACCGCGCAAATCTACTTAGGTTCCATGTCTCGCGCATCTTGGACCTCCTCTCCTTGTCAACGCCCAACTCTCTCTCTTCTCGACCCTACCGGCGATGTTTACCGCGGATGCATTCTAGGGGGTGGCTCGATTGCTGTGTTCTCATAGTACCTGCCATGGGACGCCTCCCCCCGAGTATCACTTCCTCCGAGTATACCGAGTTTGCGCGCAGCCATCACTCTCACGTCTGCCCAGATCCTTCTGCGCTGCACGAAAAACGCTACCTAAAGCCACGACACTTTTATCCTCACGCACCGCTCGTTGCAAACGTCCACGATGCCCAAAGGCAAAGCGAAAGGGCAGGGGAAATGGAAACACAGAAATAAAGGGAAGGGGGGCGCGCCAAGGGCGGACCGCAACCCTCCCCCTACACCCGCCGGTCCAAGCCATCCAACCCTTCCGAGCCCGGATGGCCCGTCGAACCCCGGAGACGAAATTCCCAAGCTATCGATGAATGGCCTGACGCTCTGTGACCCTGATCCGGCCGAAGCCCCGGTGCTGATTCCGCCCAAGAAAAAAAAGAAGCAGCCGTTTCGGTTCTTGGATTTGCCTCCGGAACTGCGCATTGAAGTGTACACGCACTTCGTTACGGCCGATGATGTGGTCGACCTCAACACAGAAAACCACAAGTACATCCGCAAAAAACTATCCATACTCAAGACCTGCAAACTCATATACCAAGAAGCCTCACACGTGTTCTACGGCAAAAACACGTTTCGGATCTTCCCTACGCAAGGTGGTCGTTACTTTAAGACTAAGAAGCCGCTGCTTGCGCGACTGAAGTCGCATCAGCGTAGGATGCTGACCTCGCTGGAATTACGCCTCGGCCCGGGTTGGACTAACCCCCCACGCGGCTGGGTAGTGAACCCGGCGCTAGGTCTTCACGATTGCGTCAATGTGCAGAAGTTGACAGTCGTTTCCGAGATCGATCCGAGTGAAAGCTACTACGAGGGATTCCGCAAGGCTGACGGATGGTATGAGGAATTTTGCAAAGTTCTGCTGCGCAATGTTCTGGCAGAAATACCGTCCCTGACCTGCGTCCACTTTGACGGAGGACCTGGGGTCAAGAAAAAGGGCGTTATGGTCGCGGGCCTTATCCAGACCGCGGAAGCCATGGGGAAAGCGATCCGCTGGGGTCCCGTGAGGGGTTGGACAGACCAAGATGAGGATGAAGAGCATGGACATGGGGTGGGGGACCATGCTGAAATGGCCTGAGCGGGAACAGCGACGCTATCGTAATGTATTGGCTATGGACTCCGAAAGGGGCCGTGTATGACTTGACACTAGCGCTACAAACCACTCAAAGTCTGAATAATATTCACCGCTTCACGTCTGGTTCCCGTAACGATGTCATGGGCGCCGGCAACGCTGCTGATGAGCCCGACGTTCGCCCCCGCATACGTTGCGGTCCACCCATCAGGCCCCCATGCGGAATCCCCTTTGCTGACGGCATCATCATGGCGCTTCTTGATGTCTTCGAACGTGGCGCCGGCTTGCTTCTCGGCCCAGCTTCGATTGACAATCGTGCGCGGGCTGAACTGCTCGGGCCAGCCAAAAGTCCCGCGAAGATGGTTGTACAGGTGGGTCCTGACAGTGTTTGCGCCGCCGTCGGTCGCCCTTACCACCTCGTCCTGGTACCCCTTCTTGATGCGGGCCTCCTGCGAGGCGAGGAACCGCGTGCCCATGGCCACGCCCGCAGCACCGACCCCTAATGCCGCCACAACGCCCCGTCCGTCGGCGACACCACCGGCGGCAATGAGCGGGATGCCCGACCCCCGCGTCGCGTCGGCGATCTCGGGTAACAGCGTGATGAAGCCGCTGCCGTCGGATGTGCGGCCATGCCCACCGGCCTCGGCGCCCTGGACGACGAGAACGTCCGGTGGGGATGCGCTCCGTACGGCGTCAAGCGCCTCTTGCAGCGTCCCGACCTGGAGCCAAATCTTCGTTTCTGGCGATTCCCCGCGCAGTCGTTGAGTCCAGACATCAACATCTGTCTGCCCGTTCCGAGGAGCAAAGAGCCAGACTGCCGCCGGCCCGTGCTGGGAGACCGTTAAGGCCGAGACGTCGAGGTTCCCATTCCAAATCTGGAAGCCCACTCCAACCGGGAGCGTGCTTCCGTGCTGCGGGATGTTGGATGACGCGATCAAACCCTTTGCCGTTTCCAAATCCGCCGCTGTGCTCTCCGGCTTCTCGCCCGGACCGATAAAGCCAAATCCGCCGGCGGAGGACACGGCAACAGCCAGCTCGGGACCCGACATGACCCGCATCGGCGCACCTATGATGAGCGGGGCGGCGGTCCACGGGTATGCTGCTCTGAGCTGATCCCGAAGGGTTACGGATTGAAGTTTCTCTTCCATAGTTAGATCTGACGCAGTGGTGCTCATACTTTTTCTTGAGAATGATTTGGCATTGATGAGCTTAGTGTGTGGTTGATGGCCGAATGCCGGCCGGAGGAGGCGGGGGCCGTGGGGTTGACTCAAGGGTGTGGTGCTCCCTTTCCGCCGATTCCAGCACGGGTAGCTCGGTGATTCGGCTATTGGCACATGTGTTGACAAGGCAGGTCGACGGTTTCCGAAACCTAAAACCGAAGCCCATCGCCTTTGACATGGAGTCATTTTGGGCAGGCCAAATTGTGGTTTTGGGAAGGCGACGTGGGGTTAAGGTGGTACAGGGATGAGTTGAAGTTGATGTTCATCCATCCACTGCATGTGGTGCGCCACCAGTCAGCCCAGCTTTGGGAATAAATGCCACTTCCCCGTCGAGATCACATGCATTACTGATCAAGCCTCCCACCTCCACATGTATGGAACGGTGTAGCACTTCTTACTAATCGCCCAAGTATTCCAGTATTCCAGGTAAGTTTTTGTAATGTTTACTTACCTCCCTAAGGTACCTAGGTAATTAGTCAAGACTCAAATGCTGATCAATGCCTTTGTGAGTATATGATGTTAATACTTTCAACGTTAGTTATTTTAACGACGACCCTAGTTATCTACAAATACTTTGTTGTGTATTAACCCCAGTATTACCAATTCGGATTGGCTGCAGTCTCCTGGGCTGTCTGTTTGTTGTCCTGTCGTCCCATCAAGATGGCCTTTTGGGCCAGAGTCTGATCTTTGACGGACAGACCAACAAACTCGGCGCCCCCGAAGACTCCAGGAGACTAAATATGTGTCGTTTGCAGATTTGACTCGGCGCTGAGCGGGGGCGCTCGTTCGACCGACTAACGGTTTAATTTATCGAATGCCGCCCCTCCCCCTTCCACTGAGTTGGTCCGCTCGGATGGCTGTCTCTGCTGTCCGCCGAGACATTAAGATAAAATTATCACGAGGCTACGAAGTAATTCTGAGCCTGTCAGCCCAGATACCTCGGGTTGATGGCCTAGGCCTTTCTGGAGATTTCTGCGCAGGATCCACGATGCCGTGGTTTAATCTAGGCTAGCGACTCGCGATATCACCGGGCTACTGTGGCGCACTCGTGTTTTCGGGAAGCCAGGAAGACGGGACAGTTACCCGACATTTAAGATCGCCAACCAGGGACCCTCGTGGCTCGCTTAGCGGTGTCTTCCACATCCCTGTTTCAATGGTGTCAACGGAACGACCGGGGGCACCCGCCCACTTGCCGAAAGGGGGTTGCTGTTCGCGGCGCCAACGCTTTTTCTCACCCATAAGATTAGTGGACTTAGGTGTGGTACTTGGGGCGCTTCGAGGTTGCGTTTGGGGTTGAGCTGCGAAGTCCGTTGGCGGCTTGAGACACAGCTCGTGGCGTGGTTGAAAAGAAGCATGCCAGGTTGCCCAGTACGCTGCAACATGTACCTAGGTACCTACTGCTATCACAGTCGGCGCCACCTTGAATATCGAGCACAGGTTGGAGGGGGAGAACATGGGCCGCCGGACCCCTAAAATCTGATCCATCGCAAAACCACTCCTTCCTAACCCACAACCCGTCTTTGTCGGGCTCAGTCGGTCAGACCCCCCCTGGAAGGCTGGAACTTGGCAAGATCGTGGTGCAGCTTGACGGGTAGGGCGCTTGGATTGCTCCGCGTTCTCGACGTGGACGACACTTGACCGCTTTTAGCCTGGTGTGCATGAGAAGATTCGCAGGATCGTTTGAACGGATGACATGGCGGTTGCCTTGCTTGTCTGTGCTCGTGCAGCAACAACCCCTCAATGCAACCACGGGACAACCTCGTGGGGCGGCAGGGTTCAAGATAGGAACCAGAAGGACCAGCCCCTCGCGAGGAGTAAGCCACGCACACATGCAGGTTTGCTATCTTGTTCAGTTGTCTACGGGGGCTATAAGGCGCGATTGTTTAAAGCCTTTGGGCAAGCAAGATGTTAAACGGGAGGAAACTGGGCTCGACACAATGCCTCCCGTGTGCACAGTCAAGGGGAGAGAAAAGGCCGACGCAGAGGGGTTGCAAGTGCTGCCTTCCCGTGCAGGCGGTCGGACTCGTGTTGCCTGTGCTCTGACTCCAGCTAGCGTTTCTCGAGCTTTGACTTTGTCCCGTTACGGTTAAGGGATGTCCGCTCAGCCGTTCAAACTGACATTGGATCAGACAGCTGTTTCCTGTCTGCTTAGAGCAAGGCCTTGTTGTATTTATCTTTGAGTGACCCCCCGTCCAGTCACTCCCACTGAAGGAGACGCCCTGCTGGTCGACCACCGTTGAAATCTCGGCATCGTCCTACCACAAACACAGTACCTAGCGTTCAAGTTACATCTTTACATGGCTTCAAGTCCTGCAGACGGCCCGAAACCAGACCAATATGCTGACCCGTTAGCAACATCACCGGACCAGCTCGCCTTTTTGCCCCACGACAATGCTGGCGCTAAACTGAACGCCATTATCTGGGTCCTGACTACGATCTCTGGCCTCATCCTCGCGCTGCGTGTATACTGCAGAATTATTCGGCGGCGAAGCCTGTGGTGGGATGATGCATTCCTCATTGCAGCATGGGTGCGTGAAACGGACGACTAGACGCGGGATTGTTCTTGTGACCATAGCTTCGAGGAACTAATACTACCTATCCGACGCCTAGATCTGCATTACCGTCGAGTCCGCCCTTCTCACCCATTTAACGACGCTCGGTTATGGGCTGCACATCTGGGACTTTGATGTCTTGGAAAAAATGCCTCGCCTCCTTGCCCCCATCAATGCAGCTGGCACCTTCTCCGTCACGGCAGCGATCTGGTCCAAAACCAGTTTCGGAATCACACTCATCCCCCTGACCGATGGTTGGGCGAATAAGGCAACCTGGTTCATCATCATAACCATGAATATAGCCATGGGTCTGAGTGCTCTATTCCCCTGGGTCAACTGCACACCGGTGCATAAAGCTTGGGACATGTTTGCGCAAGGAACATGTTGGCACCCTACCGTGATGGTGCACTATAACATTTTCTCTGGGGTTTACTCGGCCTGTTCTGATATTGCCCTTGCCTTAATTCCTTGGCAGTTCATTCGGGGTTTGCAGATGAAGAAGAAGGAAAAGGTTGGGGTCGGTATCGCCATGAGCATGGGTATCTTGTAAGCAGTATCCCGTCTCGCCATTACACTTCTGCCTCTGCGGGTTGCTAACGGGCCGTATTCATTTAGCGCCGGGATCACAGGTCTTATCAAAGTTAGCCAGATCCCCATGATGCTTTCGGATGATTTCGGTGAGTTCCATGTTCGAGATGGGCAAGGTTCACTGACGTAGCTAACCACGAATCCACAGCCGATGGGGTTGACCTTTGGTAGGTTTTGTTAACTGGTCGCTCGGTTGCTCCTCTGTCACGGGCAGCCGCACTCGGGACCTTGAAGCTAACAAATTGGGTGCGTGGCAGGCTTTGGGGCAACGCTGAGACGACCGTCACCATCATCGCTGCCAGTATTCCAATGCTTCGGGTCATGGTCCGGGACGCCACAAACTCGCGACGGGCTTACGGTACAGCCGACTCTTACAAAGAAAGCGGGCTGGGCTCTGGGAAGCGGAACATGAGGGTCGTGACCATCTCAAGCGGCCCAATGGCTAGCGATGCCGAGATGGCAAAACAAATCAACGACGACGACAGCGATAAGGGTATCCTCGAGGACAGCCAGGAAGCCATGAAGATGGGTCGAATCGTGAAAACGAACGATTTTGAAATCAAGTACGATACCAGAAGAGATTACGATGATGAGAAGTAGCGGGAAGCCCGGCGCCCGACGATATTTCTTGATCATATCAATTTCTTTGGTCCGGTCGGTGGTGCTACTCCTCTTGTGCTCTGAGTATGATTCGTTTATTTAGTAATTAGTATGCTGTTTTACAAACGGAGATAACTATCAGGAGTATCAAGTACCTTGTTCGACATTCACCCCCCCGGATCCTGCGCCCTTCCCTGCTTCCCTGAGTTGAACGTGCCTGGAGTTTGCCAATGAGCAAGATTGATCCCGGCCCACTTCGGTGACGTTCTGGGACTAAGAGGCACGTGAATACGTGGCATTGTCGCACCCCCTCACGCCCTGCATTTGATTTCAGGCACACGCGCTTGGCAACGAGACAGGTACCTCCGGTAAACCCTTAAACACATTTATGTTCCACACCAGCCGGTGCTATCCCAGGTCCTTGCCAATCACACAGCTTCTCAGGAGTCCAGCTTAGAAATCCACACTTTCACACTCGCTCCCTCCAGTCCAGCCACCAGTCCATCAAGTCATAGATCACCTGCCACATGGACCATCTCGACGAGATCCCAATGCCGCCGACTGCCACTGAAAACTTTAGCTCCTCGTCACAGGAGGCACCAATGTCTCAGGAATCGCAACTCAACCACGATGCCCTCCGCGAGTCCGCGCGGTATGCCAGAACAGGTATTGCCCCGCCTCCGAAGGTGGACAATCGCAGTCGCTTCAAGGGCTTCATTGACCGTATCAACAAACGGCAGTGGGAGCTCCTGAGCGATGCTGTGCAGAGCAGAGTGGCATACAACAAGCACGAGCTATCGCTGTACGAGTTTTCCCAGCTCTTGAAGCAGGAGTTCACCCCCAAGACCAACATCACCATGGACATTGTCGCTTCGGTGGGCGGGGACGAGGCCATGGACGGGCCCGTCGGCGCTCGCTTACGTGTCAAGACACTTGTCATGGAGGGCGAGGGCCCATGCCTACCGTCTGCATCTCGGCAACATCTGGAGCACGCCAGGCACATGTTTGTGTGTTTCACCGAGAACAAGATCAGCCAGGTCTACGACATTTCGGACGACAGCGAGAAGCGTAGCTTGGCCCGGGCCATTACGCCGCCGCCTAGTCTGCGTCCGCCGCCGCCCCGGTCATCGATCGGCATGCGGCAGTTTTATACCGATTACATTGCCTGCATCAACGGCGGGAGAATGGAAGAGGAACTGGACCAGTTCTGTAAGCCTTCGGGCGTCATCTGGAACGGCACTCATATGACGGTCAAGAAGTACGGCGAGATGATTCAGAGCAGCCTTGACGCGATATCGGGACTTTTCTTCGACATACATACTTTGGTCGTGGACGAGAAAGGGCAGCAGTTGGCTTCTCGAATCGAGTTCACCGGGACTCCCGTGAAGCCATTCGCCGGAGGGGTTCCGAACGGACGATCGGTGGCGTTTTCCGAACATGTTTTCTATTGGCTCGAGCAGGGCAAGATTTCCGATGTGTTGTCAATCGTCGACTGGGAAGAGTACAGGTCGCAGCTTGCCCGCTGACCACGTGCATGGGCTCCATGGGAACCAAACCTGGCAAGATGAGATAGTCTCACAATACACAATGATTCTAGGATGGCCCGCTATCAGTTGTCTCGCATTCCGAGCTTTCGTCTCCTGCCTGTCAACGTGTCTGCTCCGTTTTATGTTGCGCAGGCTCGGTCTCACAAGTGGGCCGGGTCAACTCCGGGCCTCTCTTGTACTTGCGGTCTCGTGTTGCTGGCTTGGCCACCGCACATCGGCCTGTTACTGTGGTTTCATGTTCCTGTGTTGTGCTTGCTTGGCTCCCCTAACCGCCATCCTTGTTATGATCGGCCGCCTGGCGGTTAAGTGTCAGTAGCTGGCTCAAGAGATTGTGCACGAGTGGTTTGAAGGGTATTGGGGGACCCATTAACCAAGGATGGGTTCTATAGCTAGGTAGGTATACCGTGCGCCCTATTCTTGTCATGAACGCCGTGGAGGTTGCGGCCGGACGAAGTGGGTGGTTCGAAGAAGGTGAGAGCTCAGGGGCTCAAAGACATCACATCGCGATGCCGTCACCTGTTCTACAGCATGAGAGGGTAGATCGGCACCGAATCTATTGCGTTGTTGCAAAACGGCAAAACCGCTGAAACTATAATGAACTTCCACTGGGTATCGAAACTAGTTGCAAACGCCCGTAAATACAATATTCGTAGAATCGAATTCGAAACAAAACCGCCTTGTTGCTCGTCAACTGGAACTAGAAGGTAGTGTTACCCTCCCTTGGAGCGCCTCTTGCGACAACATTATACTCGGATCGCTTGCGAATCAGAAACGCAAGGGCGAGCATGAAAATCTGGTTTCGCGACGAGCGGCTGCCGTATGCATCAGGGGTCGGATGACACGCCCAGCTAGACGCTCCGCTGTCATCATGTTGGCGTCGGCAGCGTCAGCTATATCCCCCCACAAACCCACGAGCAGCTTGAATAATGCGCGGGCAGCGCCATGGATGCCCATCATGGCCTCCTCCCAGAAGTCGAGTCCTTGGTCTAGGCGGGCACCGCCTATGGTGGCCTGGCGGGAAAGGGAGATCCAACGCTTGCCGACAGACTCGGGGATGATGGGCTTCGGCAACTCAGAAAGAAACACAAGAATCAGATCGGCAGCTTCGTGGATGGTGAACCGATTCCAATCCAACTCTTTGCCATAACTTGTGTCTGCAGAATTGAACACTTCCTTGAGTTGCGCCAGGCGCACTCGATCGCCACTCAGCCCAAAGATGTGAGGAATCTCTAGTCCGCAGTCGCGGATGTGGTAAACGCACCGGAGTACGCTGAGGGGGTATTCCCGGGTGGCGCGCGCTGAGGAACCACCGGAACCGTGTCTGGTGCTCGCGACTCCCTTTGCAACCTGGATACTTTTGACCAAGGGGACTCCAAAAACAGCATCCGCTTGAGGTTCTGGCTCATCGTCCACGGTTCTGAGAGACGGCCGTCGCAGGCCGAATCCGCGGAAGGTGGTGGAGAACTTGGAGCCACTACGCCGAAGTATACCAGACTGGTGTTCCCGCTGCGACGTGTCGGAGCTTGCGGTGGACGGGGGAACGGGTGAAGGGACCTCGGCCCGGGGGTTCTCCCAGACGGAATCAAGTACCGGACCGAACGCGCTGCTTGTGCGACTGGACGTTCTGCTCCCAATGCTAGATGCGTGTTCCCCAGGCGTGACCTCAGAAACGGTCAGTCATGAAGGGGGGAGTATGGTGGACGAGTGGGGTCGTTGCGGAGGGCCGTCTAGAGAAGGAATCCGAGATACGCGGGGTTCCGGGGCCAAGCTCGATATCGGGGTTAGGGCTCGGAACTCAATATGGACCTCAGGCTGTACTTTGACTGTTGGGTAGACTGACTGGCAGTTCTGGAACTCATCCTCGAGGGAAGACCGGATCGGGAGAGGTGGTGCCTGTCTGGGGCATTTCGCTCAGCTCACCAACAAAATCGTCAATCTCCTCCTCCCCAGGGTCAATTAAATAGCTCGTGAGCGCCCGGTGGTGCTGCTTGTTGCCCGCCCCGAAATGCCGGTCTCTCTATATCGTCATAGCTCATGTCGATGGCACTGTCGGGCGCGCCACCCATTGAGGAGGTGCGATGAGGGCGACGGACATTACGTTGGGGCGGCATGCTGGATCTGCTTTCGGGCTGCGCCTCGGCCCGCAAAGCATCGAGGTATTGTTCAAGCCTTACGAGCGCCACACTCTGCTGCGAGCTGATCTTCCGGAGGCCAGACAGTTCGATGATTTGGGCCGTCACCATCGCTAGTTCGTTGTCTTGGGCCCCGCCATCGCATCGCGTCTGGCGCCTGTTGTCTGAGAGGCCACCCCCAATCTCGCTGCTCGCCTGCGACTTCGTGCTGGGAGACATGCAGTCAGTTTCCGAACGCCAACAGCAGTAGCAGCGGCCGGCTTACAGTCCCACTAGGTCCGCCGCCAGACCTAACACAAGCTTGTATTCGCCGAGCGTCCGTCGCAAGGTATTGATATGGTCGCGGCTCGCCAACCAGCGCGACCGTTTCTCCGCCTTTGGCACGTCCGGGCGATTTAACAGAGATACGCAACCCTCAAGCTCGTTAATGATGGCAAGACAGGTTTCCAGCACTGCCCGCGTATGCTCCGCTAGAGAGGCAGATAAGAACGCCGCGTCGTATCCAAGTAGGTCCAGGACGCCATTGAGGGAGTGCAGCTCCGTTGATATGCTGTCGAAATCCGATCGGGACTCGCGCACCTCTCGCACGAACTTGCCGATGACGGACAGAGTTCTGGAGATGGCGTCGCTAGCGGCAGAACAAGCTGCGTCCACTGGCGCGTTGAGATTGGCGCCGTCCATCGCACGATCGTCGCCGTGGGAGCGGGATACCTGCGTCCAATCCCTCTTCGGACCCCTTGGGGCGATGGGTAGAGGTTCGATCGTGCTAAGGTGCGAGGTGGTTGATTGAGGGTCCAAGACGGGTAAAGCTCCGGCGAGCGGATTGAGGGTGGGAGCACGAAACAGCTGGCCACATTGCGAGAACTTTCAGGTGGTATCACGATTTTCGCCCCGCGGCCGCACGCGCGGTCTCGGCCTCAATGTTCGGTTCGCTATCCGACAAGGGTCCTGGCGTCCGGGGCAGTGGGATGCGAGTGGGATCTCCGATGTAGGTACCTACCTAGGGATCAGCAGCGGAGAATCGTTCGCTGGAAGAGATATTCTGCTATCACGTTATTGCCGAAGATAATCCCACAACCAATGCGCACCAGATGGGCGCTTTTCGGAGAATTCATCAGAGGAGGATGATGCGTGAATCCCCCTGGGCCACATGGACTGACCACCCAGATTCCCCACCTGCTGGCCGGGCCTCCTGACCCCCGCCCCGCCCCTGTCTGGAACCCCGGGCCTGCGGGGTGAGCCGGCTGCCGAGGAAGCAATTGTCCAGTGTCTCAAACTAATGCAGGTAGGAAGCTCCTCGGCTCAGCATGTTAAGGCAGGGAGTTTACCTCGACCTGCTCTGGCGTCTTGGATATCCTTATCACAGCCTCGAGGTCTTTGTGCTGCCAACAAGCTAATATTTTCCCCTAAATGCCGCTGGGGGACCCGGCCATCACCCCCTCCCGATGCTGCCTGGTCCCGGCTCGAACATGGTACCAGGCCCCCCGTTGGATCCAGTGTCAAATTCACCAATCTCGGTTCCCCACTCCAGAACTTGGGTGCTGTAACCTGGTCATCAAACAAAACATCCGCCAAGGACGGCAATCCTGAGAAACCAAAGGGCACGGATCTCTTGAGCGTGTGGGTGGGTGGGGACACAACAATTTAATTCTCCAATTTCTCCGGGTTGAGTCTGCAGATCGTGGGCGCCGGCTTGTCCTCTCGGGCCCCAGCCTTTGTTATTCTTTGCTGGCAGTTTCCACCACAATGCCGACTTGCATCATGAGCCAAAGCCTTCAACCTCATCGTGACCATGAGGCCGACCTACTGTCCGACAAGTATCCCAGGTGCAGGACGAAGTAGGTATGTACAACCGCATAAAAACACTTTTAGCGGCAAAGGGTCGACGAATTGAGGGACATGTGCCTTACCTGCTAGGTAGTTTCAGACTAAGCCCGTGAGAGTTGCTCCCGTGGCCGCAAGAGATAACAGTAGTGGAAGATGTCCGGGTCATTCAACTTGTGCTTTGGTGTTGGAAGTTTGCTGATGACTTCAACATTGAACAGCGATTGCACATGCTCGAAGCGCCACGGGGAGTAACTCAGCGAAATCCAAAACCCATTGTCATCCAAAGAACGGCAAACTCCCTCTGCCATGGAGAACACGGCGCTATCCTCACCACATGCAATGGCGTCGGCGGTACTCTTGTCGATGATGAGCCCATACTCTTCCCCCAGCTCGAGCCGCGTGGCGTCTGCAACCGCGTACTTTGTCCGCACGTTGCCGAAACGATCGTTCTCAAGCTGTTGTCCCCGCTCCAGAGCAAGTGGCTCGTAATCGATGTTGGTGACGTCGGAGAAACCACGTTGGCGAAGGTGAATGTGTAGATCGCTCGTCCCCGAACCCAGGTGTAGGATTTTGATAGAACCAGGAAGGCGTTCAAGGTAAGGAGAGATGGTCTCCATGAAAGTGGCGGACGACGTTAGCCATTCAAAAGAGGTTTCAGAGGCAAACCGCCGCTGCCAGTAACTCTGTTTCTCAAATTGGGAGGGCATGGTAGGTGATTGCCCGATCCTCTTCGTTTTCCGTCCTCAGCTTGCCACAGGGACCGGCCCAAACAAACAATCGTGATCTTCTTGAGTCGAGGTGTGCGGAAACAATTGAGAAGCCCCCACCCGGCTGTGGGTAAGGGAGGTCGGGAAAGATGATATTCCGTCTTCCGGAAATCTAACAACAACATGACGACTGAAGTGCCCGTCCCCTACAGCGTGTCTTGATGGAATGGAGAATCACCATCCCAAGCACAGTGCCCACTGCTTATGTAAATATTGTGGCGAGAACCGAAGCCGCTCCTTTATATTTTCCAAACCTGGGTCATAGGATGTTTGGGCAACTTCTTTATGGTTCATGATCCCTGTGACATGATTATGGATGGATGGAATTTATTTCGCCCGGAGGCACTGGGCCTATAGTGCCTTAGCACGCCAACTACATCCGGATCAAATCGTTTTGCCTTTAACTCGTACAAGCCCCCTACTTCTTCCCTCTTTCTCGCTGCACCATTTACCTCTTGCCTTGGTTGTTGTTAGCAGATCAGCTTGGAGGCTACTTTCTCCAAGTGTTCAGCGTCCTATCTTCAGCAGCTAAAGCGGGACCTGCTGGTTAAGGCTTGTGGTTGAGGGTCGTGGTGTTGAGTGTCGGCTTCTTCTACTGTGACTGGCCTAGACTCTCCTCCTCATTCAGCTCCAGCCTTTCCTGTTGCCATTGCGTATTTCATCGTCGCCCGGACTGCCTTCATATCTGGTGACCAATGCCTTGTATCCGATGGCGCTTTCCCTCCCAGATAGAACGAGAGGCTTCCTCGTCTGGCCACTGTGCATTGCAGCATGTCTTCCCTCAAAGCTGTCCATCTCACGCATCGGAAAAAGAAAGTGTTCCACTGATTCCCTTCGCTTGTCCACAGGCACAAAAGGTCTGACTCGGCCGCCCCAATCCTGCTCAAAAAGCCGTTCAATTTCGCCAGTGACATGATTACCTAGGTACCTACGGTTGGGAGTCGCCGCATGTTCGATGTGACCATTTTCCGCCAGTCACGCACTCTCCAAAACTCTCGGCGATGAAAGGCTACCTGGCTGAGGTCTCCGTCTTGGGAAGTTAAACGGCCATGTCATTTATCATCCATAATAGGCCCGACAACTGTTTAAGTGGGAGCGAGACAGCCATCATAGGAAGTCCTAATGCCTTTTCAACCCCGAACTTGACCATTTCGGACCGGCCGTTCATCTCCGATGGGCATGTATGGAAGTTGAGTCGTGACTAGGTAAACCTTAATCAAGTGGCACATCATGCTACGGTCATTAGGTCTCTAATAATAATAGTATTGGGCCACATAGCGGTATTTTCATTTTTTAGGCTGTCACGTCCTGGCTCATGATGATATCTCGGATTGCCGCGTTATCACTTGTTAGAAGAACCTCGAGCTACATGTACCTAACCGAAGAGCAGTATCTCCCGACTGAGGGACCTTCTCTTGCGCACCTACCCAGCCAAGTCTGCCGAAGCAACCCTTTCTCTGCTTATGAGCTAGCATTTCAAACTCCAGTCTAAAAGTTTGGAGTCTGTCATCCGCCCGTCTCTTGCTAATGTTGACCGCTGATAAAGCATTCTGGTTTCGGTTTACAGCCTGTCCAAGCGAGGACCTTGAGATGGCACTCCCGGCACTTGTTGCATTGGGCTCGGGGCCTGGGATTGAAGCTGGCGCAGGAGTGACATCAGGTACATAGTACATACTATTACTCGCATGCATTCCTGCACTGCACAACCCGCATGTTGCAGAAAGCTACCTGCAGGTTAAGGCGGGTAAGTATTGGTCAACACGGAGCAAGTACAGCAAGGACTCGGCGGTGAAGTCGTTGAGGGGCACACCAATCTGGACCTGCTTGGTCACCAGGCATCCTCAGCTCTTGGCAGTTTGGCAGTATGTACCTAGGGAGGGAGGTACCTTAGTTTTGGCACTAGTTTGGCAGTTCATCGCAGTAGCTGGCTGCCATCAATCCCGCCGTCACAAACAATCTCAGGGAACGCTTGTTTTTGTCTCTGTCGACCTTGTGTTTTTACCCGTTCTCCAACTGCTCCTATTTTACTTTATCATGGGCCCTTTATCATCAGCCTGAGAAGGCCTAGATCCCGTATCTCTCTAATCAAAGCCGATGTTGACTCGAGGTCTCAAGACAGGTCGATACCCGAAGTTGGAAGCGGAAGCGGCCTTGCCTAATGCGGGGTGGTGGGGGGTGTCACGCGTGTTTGGAGGGGTGGAGGGGTGGAGGGGTTAAAGCCGCGTGGTGCAGACCCGCAGGGGCAAGAGTGAATCATGAGGCGCCAGCTCGCGTCTCCTTATCCTGTCGCCGATTCGTCCGGACCTGCTCCAGCCTGGTGATGCCACCACAGCAAACGAAGCGGCCAGGGTGGACGTGTTACAACATGTCTGCAGGACCAGCGGTCAACGATGCCCAATCCGCGCCATGTCACGGCTCATCACTGATGCCCGAGAAGCGCCGGCTGTTGTTTCTTTTTTAGCTTAATGCGCGTTAATCATTCGACCACGGTCCGGCACTCCGGCTTGCTCCTGAGAATGAGCCCACATACACTCACCGCACTTAAAAAGAAGGGGGGGAACGGCATGCCCACCTAGGCATGTTGTACTCTTCAAACCATTATCTGACGACCTTGAGAGCACAAAGACGCAGCAATTTGCCCCATTTCAAACCCTTACCCCTGAAGACTACTCCCGACGCGACGCGTTCATCTCTCCATTATGGCTGCCGCTGTCGCTGTTCCCCTGTCCACTATCAACGGCGCGCTAGGTGGAGTGCTACCTCCCAGCGCCCTTACTCAGCACTCGCCCCGCCATGGCCGGAGTAGAGCGATGAGCATGAAGGGCAAGGGAGGTCGGCAACGCGGTTATAGTGTGGTCGAGGAGCGGGATGTCACCATTGCCAAGGCACTCATGTTTGTGGTTAAACGAGCAATCCAGAAGGAGGATGTCGAAGAAGACGAGGATGGGGAGTACCTTGTGGCAGACCCGGAGGGCTGGATTAGCCTTGCTGACGTGGTATGTCTGCTCCCCTTGTGCCACCTGTTTCACCGCCCCCGAGGTACTGATAATGCCGCCGTCTTAGCTCACGCACTCTCGGATTTCGGCATTGGGCGCTACCATCGAGGATATTCAACGGGTCGTTGGGACTGCGGCCAAGTCGCGATTTGACCTGCGGCTGGTGTCCGACACAGAAGGCAATGCTGAGGAGCCAGCATCTTGGCAGATCTCTCGCATTGCTAGCAAGGAAACCGTCACCTCGCCCACCCCGGTTGGAGACAAACTGACCGCCGAGTCGCCCAACATCCCGGAGTTTGTCGTGTACGAGACGTCATACCAGCGATACCCCCTCATCCTGGCACTGGGAGCCATCACCAGAGCCCCCGGCGCCAGCGAGTATCGTACATTTGTGCCGGTCACGGTGGATAACGAAGGAAATGAATCACGCCAGAGCCCCGCCGGGGAAACTGCCGAGGTCAGTGTTTGGGTCCATTTGCGTACAGCCCTGCAGGCAGAGCCGTCCATCACATGGTATCGCAGCGATAGTGGGACTATCATCACCACCGACAATATCCCAAAAGGCCTTTGGAAAAAGGCAATTGCGCGCCGGCCTGACCTCGGTATCGTGTTTGAGGATGGCGAGACTCGTAAAGAGATCCCAGTGAACCTTCGTGGCAAGGGTGCCAAGGGCAGAGCTCGCAAGGGCAAGGTGGTTGGGGTGAAAGAGGAGGGTAGTGGCGACGATTCTGGAAGCGCTAGCGAGGAGTAACTTCGCTTGTGGTATGGAAGTATGTTAATGCGTTATGAGATCTCTTCTTGAATTTCGACAAAGATATTCTTGGTTTAATAAGATCAAATGTTAAATGCAGACTTAGAAGTGCTAATCAGCGTTTACTCTTCTCGTAGACTAATCCCATATTGTCAGCTGCAGGCACCATTCATCAGGCATCCTTCGACCTTGATTAGCACCCATCAGCCCTCGTGACCCCAGAACCAACTGTCTCGCACTAGACACGGCCAGAACCAAATCAAAGTCTATGGGTATGGAGAAACAGGAATCTTAGGCTAAGTTCAAGGAGCGTTGGCCGCTTATATCGATAGGCTTTTCTCCAAAGTTTATGTTTGCCGCATAGGCCTTACGTCTTTACAGTTTATCCAGATGCTACCGTCGTTTTTAATCCTTCATCATGCCGCTCGATGAACCACCAGGGAAGGGTGGAGCTGCACACCTCGATTCGCACCCAAATTGTAATGGCTTGTCTTCGAAACTCATCTATCGGGTAACGATACATTCTATACATGTAGCCTTGAACTTCATTTTTAACCTGTGGTCAAAATGAAAGTGCATGGCTAGTAAAACAATGGCATACATACCGAGTAATATCGGGGTTTCTTGTAATCCCGCCGCGGGAAGTCCATGCGATACTTGCGGAGATATTCCCTGATCTTATGCTACACAAAGCAGCGCAAGCTCGGGAGAAACAGTAGGACGAGAAGGAAGTGGCACATTCGTGACATTTAGGCTCAGCGCTTATAAACTGACCGATTGCTTCACCAGCTGACGAGACTGCTCGGACGTTGGTTACCCCGAGCAAGGTGGGGTTGGAAGCATGATGGATGAGATCATCTTGACGCAATCATGTAGATCTCCCTACTGGTTGGGAATCTCTCTGCCAGATCAAGAAATGGAATGTGTAAAAGTTGATGTTTCTACAATACTAACGGAGTACCGATGTATATCCAAGGAGACAGTCTTGTCAAAGACCAAATGCCCCACGCCGCGGCACCAATTTGCTGTCTTTCACAATCATGGCTTCGTTACCCAGAACGTCCAACCGGGTCCGCCATCCTGTTGCTCTTGCTTCGTGCTCCATCGGCTTACCTCGGCACACGCTTCATCAAAAGATCGAGGCCATTAGGGAAGCAGGTTTTGATGGGATCGAGTTGTCGTATCCTGACCTTCAAGCTTTCGCCAGCCGTTCCTGTGGCCGAGATATCGCTGAGGATGATTACGAGTCATTATGTGAGGCTGGGAAGGCTGTGCGGAGAATGTGTGCTGGACACAACCTCAAAATCCTGGTTCTCCAACCATTCTCCAATTTTGAGGGGTGGCCCGAAGGAAGTCGGCAACGCCGAGATGCCTTTGCTCGGGCTGAGGCATGGATCGACATCATGGACGCAGTTGGGACGGACTTGCTCCAGGTCGGGTCATCCGATTCGCCGGATATGGCCCAAGATGTCGACAGGATCGTTGCTGATATCACTCAGCTGGCAGACATGTTGGCCGCCCGTGGATTTCGGCTTGCTTACGAGAACTGGTGCTGGGCGACCTGCGCGCCGAGGTGGAAGGATATTTGGGACATCGTCAAGAAAGTGAACCGGCCGAATATCGGCTTGTGCCTTGACACCTTTCAGACCGCAGGAGGCGAGTGGGGAGACCCAACGACGAAGTCAGGGAGGATTGAGGCCGGGGGAGTCACGCCAGAGGAGTTGTCAAAAGCGTATACCGCGAGCCTTGAGGAGCTGAGCAAAACCCTGCCAGGCCAGAAAATTTATTTCCTGCAGATCAGCGATGCATACCGGTTAGAGACCCCAATGAATTCGACCACAACTCCAGATTCAGGCCTGAGACCCAGGGGCCGCTGGAGCCATGATCACCGACCGCTCCCGTAGGACATGTCCTCGTTACAACAACGGATGACTGAATCCGGATGGCTAACACTATCGCAGTTACGACGGCGGGTATTTACCTATCGAAACCTTTGTACGGGCTGTATTGTCAACCGGTTTCGATGGCTGGTTGAGTATTGAAGTCTTTGACGGGGAGTTCAAGGAGAAGTACGGTGATGATCTGAAACGATTTGCCAAGAAAGCTATGGAAGCCTGTCAGAAACTGCTGGTTGATTCCAAGAATGAGTGATGTACCTAGCATTCCATTGTTATTGTTTTTCAGCATTGCTGGAATTTTATTTACAATTGAACCACCCCGGAGCATGTTCTCTCACCGCCTCTGTTGCCCACGTACATGTCCCACGTCACACGGTCTAGACCCCCCTTTTGTTTTTCACCATTGTGTACAACAGATCAAGCCAACACATGGTCCCTTAGTTGAGACAGACTTGCTGGGTACAGGCACCACCGGGAGGGACGCAGATACCACAGCTCGAGTTGCAGCACGTAAGGCCGGCCGGGCAGACGGTCTTGCCACACTGCTTGCCGGGTTCCTCGCCGCAGAGCTGCATCGTACAAGCTTCCCCAGGTTTGGTGCAGACTCCACAGCTCGAGTTGCAGCACTGGAGACCGGCAGGGCACACAGTCTTGCCGCACTGTTCACCCCCCGGGACACAGAGTTGCTTTGTGCAGCCCTTTCCAGGTTCAACGCAGATGCCGCAGCTCTCGTTGCAGCACTCTTGACCGGCCTTGCAGGTAGCCCGGGCCACACTGTGTTTCCTCGCGAAGGCGTGATGGCGACGGGCGGGCAGATATGGGCAGTGCACGCCATGGCCGGGCTTGACGCAAAGGCTGCAGGACGAGTTGCAGCAGACCGTCCCGGCCTCGCACACCGTGTTTCCACACTTGGCATCCTTGATAGGGACGCACTGGGGCCTGCCGTCGATTTCCAGGCAGGCGGTGCCAGCGATGCACCGGACCGAAGCACAAGTGATTGCGTTACCGGAGCCGAGATCGACCGGGTTGCCGTGAACTCCGGCGGTGACCAAGAAGGCTAGGAGTAGAGCTCGGGGGAGAGAAGAGAGGACTGCCATGTTGAAGATGTCGATTGCTTGAAAGTCTTATCGAAAGAATGGGGATTCGTTTTCTTGTGAGAGACAATGGCTAGTAGGAACACGGGAAGCTAGAGGGGAGGCTTTGGCATGCTAAATACGTGGATTGGGTCACCGCCCCTTAGTTCAAATTCCTCTCCCATTTTCTGGCTGGACCCGGCCGGTGACCGGAGGTCATCATGACTCGCTAGGAATGGACAAAGCTCAACAGACCCTAAGCCACCATCCCTAATTTCCAGGGTAAAGACGGAAGATGTTCCAGATTTAGAAACACAAAAGCAACTTTATGTGGCGTGTTGTATTCGCTGGTGTCCTTCCGTATAGCCTAAGATGGAGAATATGCAGTGCCCAACGATGGTTGCCCAGCTGTTTGGTGCTGGTTGAAGGTCTTGGGCACAACTTGATAAACGGGACTCGGGATGACAACATTCCCGAATTGACACAACAACCCAGTCAACGTGTCAGAATGGTTGGGCGCCCAGCTCGTATTAATAAATGATTGCTTTGAAAAGGGAAAGTTTTTGCAGAGCGTGGCGTTATGACAGGCGATCCTTTCCAGAAAAGATGCTGGGTTGAAAGACAACCATCAAACGACAGGTCAGCTTAATCAGACTCCATCAGAGATTGTTGGATCAAATCGAAGGGCGTCCCTGTCCCAGGGCTCTGGCAACGCAAATGACAGCAGCACTCGTGTAACGGCCCACGTATTATTCTTGGCTAGGAGGACTCCTGCATCTGGCTAGGCCTTAGCCACATGTCAGGGGTGAAAGCTGACCGAGCCCCTTGAATTACCAAATGGCCTTTTTGTGCACACACAGCGAGACCCCAGCACAAGAAATTACAAGAAGTCCGAGCTCAGAATGTCGACAAACCGGGCCCGAAGCCTGATTTGGCGGGGTACACGATCCATCCTGTGGGAGTCGGATTGCCCTTGCACAGGAGGGGAATTTGGTCATGAACCACAAAGATCTTGGCATCGAAGGTGGAAAGGTCAAGAGGGCACCCCTTCACTTTTGCCAATGCTCTGTCTTGACTGCGGGGTTGGTGTTGTTACGGGAAAGAGAGGTCAAATGACGTGGGCTTCAGACATGAAACATAGGGATGCGACGCGATCGAGGTCTGGAGCAAGTGTCTTACGGCACTGGCATGTCTGAGATGGAATTTGTGTTGAGAATGCTGTACGAGACCAGATCAGCGTAGAGTATGACATCAAACATCATACCGAGATGCTAAGCATTTAAAGAGAAGGCGGCTAGGTTATTCTAAAACTTCGGCAATGCCATTCACCTGAGTTCAGACCTAAGTTTATCTGGGTTGTCATAGTTTTTCAAGGTGAGAGCCCTTAGACAACTTTGTATATCCTACTCGTTCCCGACAGCCCTTCTTATCTACCCCAGCGAGGGAAAACGCCGTCTTTGAGCCCGCTGCAATGGACACCAAATCACCAACGCCACGGGATGCGGAGGCCGGGAACGATGCCTTTGTCATGAGCCCTCCCCTCGAGAACCATGCCCTCTCCATGCGAAGCCACAATATCCTCATCCTCATCGTCAGCAACACTCCAGTGCTTAGATGGGAAAGAGTCGACGGAGAAAGCAGAGAAGACGGAGGAATGGGCCACCGGGGCTTGGGATTTTGGAGGTGCTTTACTGGCCTTTGTATTCCTATTCTTCTCTCGGCATTCGAGGGTAGCGTGGTTAGTACGGCGCTTCCGACAATATCACGATCCCTTAACCTTGGCCCAAACTCATCCTGGGTGGCAACCGCTTTTCTCTTGGCCTCGATTATTTTCCAGCCATTGTTTGGGCAGCTCGCCGACATCTGGGGACGGAGACATTTAATGATGATAGCAGTCGTGATCTTCGGTGCCGGGAGCGCCATCGCAGGTTATGCCAACAACTGCGCGGTGTTGGTATTCGGACGCATCATCCAGGGGATAGGTTCAGGGGGGATTGACCTCTTTGCCGAGCTGATTCTCTGTGACATCATTCCCCTGAAGAAAAGAGGGCATTACGTGGCCATCAAAGCCGCCGTTTATGCTTTGGGGACCACCGTCGGGCCGCTCTTGGGTGGAGTGTTCGCCCAGACAAATTGGCGATGGTGTTTTGGCGTCAATTTACCCATCTGCATCATCGCGCTTGTTCTAATGTGGTTCTGGCTCCAGCTCAGCAGCGGACACTCATGGAAGGGGCTCACAGCGCTCCAGCAGATCGGCCAGGTCGATTTTGTGGGAATCAGCCTCCTCACAACCGCCGTCGTCTTGATTCTTTGCGCTTTGAGCCTGGCCGGTACCGTGTACTCATGGTCTCATCCAACCATCGTGGCATCGCTAGCAGGCGGTTTCGCCGGCACCGTGGCGTTTATTTTTTGGCAACGATCTCGGCGATGCGCACGCCCCATCATGGCGCCGCATGTCTTTTCCAACCGAACAACGATCGCAGCTCTGGCCATCACTGCTCTCCATGGCTTCATCACGTACGGGTTTCAGTTTTATCTGCCACCTTTTTTTCAGGCAGTGCTCGGGGCATCGCCGTCGCAATCCGGCCTTCTCATCCTTCCATGCAGCCTCGCCGTCGTCATTCTTGCATCCGTTGGAGGGCCGTTGCTCGCTCGGTTCGGGAAGTACCGCTTGATGCACTTGGTGGGCTTCGTGCTTATGATCGCCGGAATACTACCTTGCATAACGTTCGAGAAGTCTCGGTCTGTGGGTCTGTGGATCTTTATGTCACTGTTAGTTGGGATCGGCTCAGGGGTCATCGTCTCCACAACCCTCCCGACCGTGCTCGTTGAGCTCACGGACAAGGAAAATGCGGCTGCGACTGGTTCGTGGGCATTTCTGCGTGGGCTTGGATCCCTGCTTGGTGTTGCCCTTCCCAACTCACGTTTTTAATGCGCGGTTCTCGGCCGCTCTCCATTCTATCGACGACGCGCTCGCCAGGGGTGAGTTGGGTGACGGGCAGGCATATGAACATGCATCAGCAACACTTCATTTCAACGTTTGATGAGCCAGTGAGGGAACAGATCGTCAGGTGCTTTTACAGCAAGCTTCAAGCTTGTTTGGATTATATTTCTGGTTGTGGCACTGTTAGGATTGCTCACAGTGTTTTTGGAACGTCAGGTCCGACTACGGAGGGCCCTAGACAGCGATTTTGGGTTGAAAGACCCCAGATGATATCTTGGATAGCAAAATAAGTAGTCTTGAAACAAGAAAAGTAATAGGCGTTGGGCGGGCGGGGGGGGGGGGCGTGCATTAAGATGAACATGAAGTTTTTGAGAACCAAACTTGCTCAAGTGACCACGAAGTGGAACGCAACCTTGAAGTCAGGTCTCCGATATCAGGGCCGACATTGCCATGATGTTTAAACACGAAGTTTGGTCCTCGTGAGTGAAGCTTACTTTTAATTGTTCCGTTCTGGATCGATTCGCGAAAACATATTTCTATACCCGCGTTGCTCTATGTTTTGGGACAACGGCTACACACACACACACACGCCCACACAATTTATTCCGCCCGAGCGGGCCTAACCCGAAAGGGCAACTATCATGCAATCTACTAATAACGTAATCCATCACCTTCTGGGACACACCACCTTGTGGGACAGCTTTCTGCCCCACACCCCACCACGTCGACTTCGGACGCACTCCACTACGCCATTGTGGGAGAAGAACAATTGTTGAAGATGCACACAATGAAGGAGAAACTGAATGTCAAAATACCTTCTGCTTGTTCTGATAGTTAAGGCGCATCGATCAAATCCGAGAAAGGCACCCCGCGGGGGGCTGCCCGCATCCCTGAAGTCCCCAAGATGGCGTCGAACGCGAACATTGAAGACACCCATGACGCGCTGAACTCGCCGCAACCGCGACGCCGACCACTGCGCTCCCCTAAACCGTCCGCCAAAGTCCGCGAAACGTTGATTCCCCTCGAAAACAAGGCAAAACCGACCAAGAATACGTCCAGTGCGGCCACGCGACCCGATGGTGCACCCGCCCTGGATGGAAGGTCCAGCGTTGCGCAGAGGCTGCTGGCTGAGGCCAGCAACACGCGTCAAAACATCGAGGAGCTGAAAATCGTCATCCAACAGCAAACCGACATGCTAGCCAAACTCAGCACCGAACTAGTTTCTGTCAAAACAGAACTGGCCACAGTGAAAGCAGAACTCAGTAACGTCAAGAATTGCGTGGCCGAGGAGCAGAAGCAGGTTGCCGAGGAGTTGAAGCAAGTCTACGTGCAATTGGACGATATCTCGAACAACCTGATTCTCACTACAACGACCATACTCGACGAGCCCAAACCTGTCGTACGCAAATGTCGCCAGAACCCCACCGGATAGTTCCCCTGCGAACCTAAACTCAATATCGTCTATGGAAACCACTCCGTCAAGTACGACCGATTCGCTTGTTCTGCACGAATCGACACTTCCAGATGTAGAGAGCGGAGAAGGTGATAAGACTTCCGGTGGGGGCCAATTAGGACAATCGTTGAGAGAGAAATCCGGGGGAAGGGGAGACTGCGTCAATTGGCCGATGTCGCGCAGTGACAAAAGATCCAAAGAACCCCGAGCCGGGGTTAGGATTGCCTGTAGGGACGAGGCCCGAACTCAAAATTGTCAAGGAGGTTGCAGAGAAAAAGATGGCAAACAGGCACCCGAGTGCTACGGGACGAGCTTTACCCGATCAAGGTCGACAATGTCAACCGCTCGGTGGTTCTGGACGACGAAGGCAACATCCGAACTGGAGCTGCGGAGGCATTCAGTCAAGAAAACGAAACCACAGTGGCGAAGATTGCTTGGCTGAGCAGGAAAGATACAGCGAAAGCGTACGGATCGATGGTGGTTTACGTCACCAAAGGGAGCGATGCAAGGAGATTGTTGAGTGAGGGTTTCTTCCACGCTGGGGGAGAATCCGGATACACACGGGTATTTGAACGCCGGGTGCGTCCGGAGCAGTGTTACAACTGCCAGGAAATCGGACACAAAGCCTTCAACTGCAAGAAAGCCCACCGGTGTGCGCAAAATGTGCCAAGCAAGGCCACCACCACAGCGGGTGCAAGGAAACGGTCATGAACTGCGTTCTCTGCGGAGGACCACACGAATCTTTCAGCCACAACTGCCCGAAGCTTTATCCTACTAGCCAGAAGTAGGATACATTCTCTCGACTTGACAGTTGAGACCACTAACTCTTCTCCCCTTCGACTAACTGACCCCCCAAGCACCCTCGTGGCACTAACCGCAGGACTCGCTTTAGCTGCTGAAGATAGGACGCTAAACACTTGGAGAACATAGCCTTCAAGCGCGCCTGCAATTTGTCAACTAACCACGAGATTTCGACGATAAGTCAGATACGGTTTAGGGAATACTGCATCAGGAATGACAAATTCAAGGGCTGGTACGAGATCAAGGCAGAATCACAGGGAGGGATTATGTAACTAGCATCATGGCCCTTTAGGCTTAGCGCCTCCGGGCGGAATAAATATCCATCCATCCATCCACGCCATTGTGCCCGGCAAAATGCCAAAGCCTCTACAGCACGAAGATAGAATCCAATTAGCACTCGAGGCCTTACGTTCAGGCCAAATCAAAATCATTCGCAACGCTGCGGATGCGTTTGGTGTACCGAAGTCCACTCTCCACAGACGCGTCAAGGGGGGCGGTACGCGTCAAGAAGCTCAAGTCAAGAACCGAAAGCTACGCCCAACTGAAGAAGCAGCCTTGATTCAATGGGATCGAGTCATTGGGACGACCGTGGGATGTCGCCGACGATCGGTTATATCCGACAGATGGCTGACCTTCTTCTCCGCGAGCGTGGAAGGCTTCACTCTACTCGACGCGTCTCAACTTACATCCACCCCGGTCCCGGCAATGACTGTCGGTGAGAACTGGGTCCAGCGGCTTCTTCATCGGCATCCCCATCTGGAGACGAAGTATTCTAGAAAGTACGACTATCAACGGGCCTTATGCGAGGATCCAGAGAAGATTTCAGCGTGGTTTGCACGAGTGCAAAGGACCATCAACGAATACGGTGTTCTTGACAGCGACATCTACAACTTTGACGAGACTGGTTTCCAGATGGGTGTTGCAAGCACGTCTAAAGTGGTCACTCGATCTGACCGACGGAATCGACCTGTTGTTATCCAGCCGGGAAATCGAGAGTGGACAACTGTCATCGAGTGCATTAACGCATCCGGCTGGAGTGTTGACCCGATGATTATCTTTGAAGGAAAAGTCCACATTTCGTCGTGGTACGACGGCTCAGTGCTGCCAAAGACATGGCGGATTGGAGTCAGCGATAACGGCTGGACAACCGATGAGCTTACCTTCGAGTGGCTTCGAGAAGTCTTCGAGCCACAAACTCGAAAACGGACTGTTGGTCGATATCGGCTTCTCATTCTCGATGGTCATGGAAGCCATTCGACGCCTGCATTCGACAAATTCTGTACTGAGCATCGGATCCTTACAGAGTGTATGCCTCCGCACTCGTCGCACTACCTCCAGCCCCTTGACGTTAGCTGTTTCGCTGTGCTTAAGCGGACGTACGGCGACCTTGTCAAAGCGAAGATAGCACTCGGGGTTCATCACATTGACAAACCGCGATTCCTCGAACTGTTTCTCGAAGCTCGGAAAAAGACATTCAATACAAAGAACATCGCAAGCGGCTTTAGAGCTGCAGGGCTCTTGCCTTTCGATCCAACTCAGGTTCTTTGTCGGCTACAAACCAGGATACGGACACCGAGTCCCCCTCCTACCCCTATCCAACCGCCAAGTCTGCCTCTCAAAACGCCCGCAAACATCGTCGAACTTGACTCTCTCCAGAGGAAACACCAGAGAGAGATAATCCCAACAGATCAGGCGCTTCAGAAAATCATCAAGGGCTGCCAGATGGCGATGCACAATGCTACTCTTTTGCAGGAAGAGAACTCGCGACTTCGAGCTGAAAATGGTCGACAAAAGAGAAAGCGGGCACGCCGAGCTTTCATTCAAACAGGAGGGACTATGACGATTGGAGAAGGGATGACACACATCGAGGCCTCCCAGAATGCTCGTCAGAAGGGTCAAGGAAGCCAGGAAGCTCGTCGAGAGGTCGAAGAAGGAGAGGTGGGGCCATCGGACACGACTGCGCCAAAGGCACGAAAGCGTGCGCAGCCGAAGTGCAGTGTTTGTGGCTCAATCGAGCACAACGCCAGAAAATGCCCTTGTAAATAAGGGCTCGAATTATGTAGAATGCATTCCGAATAGACTCTCTTTTGTGTTGTGAGGTGCGTCCGAAGTCGACGTGGTGGGGTGTGGGGCAGAAAAAGTGTCCCACAAGGTTGGTGTGTCCCAGAAGGTGATAGATTACGTTAATACATATCCTAAAGTGGATCCCTGATCTCATGAAGCCCCGTACATCCTCCTTTTCTGGCTTATCTCCTTACAATTTTGCCCCTCTCTGCTGCGGATGCTCGTTGGTTAGTTTGTACGAATAGTAAGCTGGCTTGAAAGGCTAGACTCCAAGTGTCCAACGTCCTATCTTCGGCGGCTGAAGCGCGCTTACTCCGTGTGACACGAGATGAAGGGGGGTGTTAGTCGGGGTTTAGGAATGGTGAGGCTAGTTTGCTTCATTCTGTTGTTGTTCAGTCCTCAGACGACCTGTGGCAAATGGCAAAAACGTATCGTCGCCCGCACCGCCCGCATGTTGGGGGACCAGTCCTTGTCATCCGAGGGCGACTTTCCTCCCAGGTAGAAGGAGAGGTTCCCCCTGTGGACATCCGTACATTGCAGCATCTCCCTACGGTGTTGATCCCATTGCTTGCATCGGAAGAGGAAGTGGTCCACTGTCTCTCTGGCTTCGTCCACACGTACACTGATCTGACGGTGCTGCTTTGATGCGATGCAGGTATGTGTTGAGCTTGGCCATGCCTATTCTAAGCTGAGCAAGCACGCCGGCCTCGCTTCGGGACAGGTGGTCGTATAATAGTTGGGTGTGCTTCCCTGGTAACGCTATATCGACTCTCTTGGAATGTCTGCCCACTTTGTCAGGTAAGGACGTGGGCGGTGCCCGCTTTGCACCATGCGATACGGAGGGCTGTTGACCGCATGGCAGGATCGCTGCGTTTGCGGCTACGTTTGCAGAGTTCTCGGTATACCTACCATGCCATGAATCGTAACCCAGCGCCCACTTTTGCATGGTAAACGCATCCCTGCATCATCCACTTCTCGGGTTCTCTCCTAAACTACGAATAGCAGCACTGAGTCGTCATTCTGAGCATCTTGGGAGGCCCATGGTTAAGAGTTCATAGGTGTCTTAGATCTTGAAGGGTCTCAAGATACATTCGTGAGAGGCTCTGTTACTGCTACATGGGTATGCAAGTGGAAGGCTGAGCTCTCGGACGAGGGCTGGGGCGATAGGTAGGTAGTGTTCCACATTTCTCGCACCCCCGGAACTGGGTTAACCACACGACCCCCACCGTCCATAGCAAGGATACCCGTGTAAAGAAGGAGTGGCCCGGGGACAGCCGCAGAGCTGCGGACGCGTTGATCTGCGACTACATGGACGAGTCGGACATCAAGATGATTACGGCCGTCTACGAGAACATTGTTGCGGCGGTGAAGGGCGAGACGACTATCCTGGAGTACAAGATCAGAGATGATCTGCTTAACAAACATTACAAGTACTGCCTGGACGCCGAGGCGGCCAACAGATGCTTGGCTGCCATGGCGCAGCAGACCACAGACCGTTATCCTCACGCCCGAATCTCGAAATCGACGCCGGGTACCAGTAGCGCAACCATAAAACGAGTGCTTGAGGCCATCTCAGATAGAATATCGTCCCCCGTACGTCTCCACTCACGAGACATTCTTTATTTGCCAATGCCGAAAGGTTGTTCTTGACCTATCGAGAGAAGATGCCCTTCAAGACTCTCGACGTTGAAAGACTGCCACCGCGCTAACGGTTCGAACCTCACTCGTACGATATCATCATCGCGCCCAATGTTTTCTACACGACGTCGTCGCTCGAAGGAAGCACTGCAAATGCTAGGAGGTTATTACCAGGCGGGTATCTCCTATTGCTGGAGCTCACAAACCCGGTGGCTGTGGAGCAGCATGATCTTCGGTGCTGCACCGGAATGGTGGTTGGGTGTAGATAATGCTAGGGAACTGGCTCCTATCGCATCGCCTTCGCCGCGGCACTCGGCATTGCGAAAAGCCGGTTTTGCGGGAGTCGATGCTATCACCGCTGGGTCGACGGCGTGGCTTCGCCGACCTCGATTCTGGCGTCTCAGGCACCTCGATGGCCGCGCGCGGTTCCTGAGACGCCTGCTCGCCGCACCCGCTTCATCGCAACCATTGCCCCCCCCCCCCCCCATTGTCGAGAGCCTTGTCTTTGCCGGTAAGGGCAAGTTCGGAACCTTCCCGCATTGCCGAGGAGCTCTCTGAAACACTTGGGTATTTCTGCGGCAAGATACAGCTTTTTGACAGCCTGCCTACCGATGAAAAGGCACAGGAGCTCGTTTCATCTATGACTACCTACCTAGGTACTTTTGTAATCCTGGTAGCCAATCTCGACAACCCCATCTTTAGGAGCTTTACCGAGAATCAGATGGAAGAACTCAAACACCTGTTCGATGTAGCAAAACGTGTACTTTGGATTACACGTGGCGCCTTAATACCAGACGAGTGTCCTTCTTTTCGACGGCAAGACGGCGGCGCCGACGGCAATTCGGGCAGGGGTCCCCCAAGGCTCACCCCTTTCCCCTGTTCTCTTCATCCTCTACATTTCCTCATTATACAAGCAGCTAAAAGACGAGCACCCTCACTTGGCTATAACAGGGTTTGCGGATGACACCAACCTTCTAGTATTTGGTCGAAACCCCGAAGCCAATGTCCGGCAACTAGAGGCGGCGTGGGAAACGTGTATACGATGGGCGGACAGTCGGGGGATGAAGTTCGCCCCGGAAAAGAGCGAACTGATCCATTTCAACAAAGCGGCGGCGGCAGTGGACCGAACAAGTAAACCTTGCCAACCCAAGGGGAGGCACCAGCCCCGTTAAACCAGAAGGGTCTGCCAGGTTCCTGGGAGTCTGGTTGGACTGGAAACTCAACTGGGAAGGCCCACCTGGTGGCGGTGGAGAAGAAGCTGAGGACTCCAGAGCTATGCCCTGTCGAGGATCGTGGCAAAGACATGGGGGATGGGGCTAGCCAAAGCGCGAGAAGTGTACACAAAGTGCATCCGGTCGGCGCTGGCCTATGGCGCATCATCGTTTCACATCCCCACGGATGTGGGGAAGGCGAGCCGGCAAAGAAAGGCATCACTAAGGCCCTCGGGAAGGCCCAGAACAAGAGCTTGCGGATTGTGGCGGGTGCCTTTAAGTCTACCCCCAATCCGTAATCTCGAGACAGAGACATGGGTACCACCATTGGACTTGTACCTAAACAAACGGCTTGCAGATTTCGAAAACCGACTCCAACGACCCGATCTGGACGACGGTCGAGGCGGCAAGAAGACGGCGGCGAGCGTTGTCCTCACCGCCTGCCGCAAGATTCAGCAGAGACTCAGCTCGAGGAGGGGCAACAGGGGCCGACCGCGAACCTTGGGACCTCAAGGGCCTACGGCGGTGGAGAGAGCCGCGGGCACGGTCATGCGCTGGACGGGGGGAGCCGTTGATACGAACAGGGTAGTAGAAGAGGCTTGGAAAGCCAGGTGGTTAAAGGAACGGGACGGCAGGGGCAATCACCAGGCCGGCGGACGACTTTGACCATCAGCAGGAGACGCTATTCCGGAACGAAACCCTAAGGAGGCACGACGGTCTCAGCAAGGCGAAGAGCTCACTGCTGATTCAAATCCGGACGGGAGCAATAGGCTTACGGGACTTTTTGTTTACACGGGGAGTCCCGGAGGTTCTGACTCCTGCCTGCGAGTGTGGCGAGGGACGAGAGACTGCCGAACACCTGGTAGTGTGGTGTTTGGCCCCACCGTTGACTAGAAGATGGGAGAGAACTGGAATTCGGACACGACGGGACTTTTACTCTGTTCTACACGGCATCAATCCCACGACTGCACGGCTCGCGAGGAGAGTTCTCGACTGGGCTGATGGACTCGGGGAAGCTGCCGATGTACAACTTAGCCAGGAGGCTCGAGCTGGAAGCGGCGGCCTGAAGCGCCCCCGTTCGGAGGCCAGGAGGCCTCCTCTCTTTGTATATGTGGGCTCACTAAAACGCATCGCTCCTTGATTGTTGGTATGGGTTTTTCACCCGGCCCGGGAGGGCACGGTTTTCCTGTACACTAAATAGCTGACGGTCCGGCACGCCCTAGGGCATAGCGGAGTATGAATAATAATTAATACCAGACGAGCCTTGCCACATAGCTTCGGTCGCCTTCGGCCGTGTGATGCGAGCCGAGACGCCCTATGTAAGCCTGAGTGTGCTCGATATGGCTGATGAGCAAAGCTATACCGCCGCTAACAAGCATCTTGCCGAGCATCTCCGTCGAAAATCGATTCCGAGAGTGTGGTTTGTCCTTCTATTAAAGCTACCAAATAGTGTGGCTGATGCGTGGCGCTGTGCATGTTTCCTGCTCGAGGGCGGTCCACAGGCGGGGTACCGCAGGCCATCGACAAACCCACTCAGGATTAACCCTAAGAGATCTTTAAAGGGCAACATAAAAAGAAATACACTCATCCCTCATGCCATACCCCCATTAACGCGCACCACTTGGCCCGACACCCAAGACGAGGTAGCTAAGAAAGCAATGACTTCAGCCACTTCTTCGGGTTCTCCGATACGTCCCTGGGGGTTCCAGCTAGCGATGGTCTTAAGCAGCTCCTCGCTCTTGCCCTGGTAGAAGAGCTCCGTGCCTGTGGGGCCTGGGGCGACAGCATTAACAAAGATGCCTTTGCGGCCGAGGTCCTTATTCATAACGCGCGTCATCTGCTCGATAGCTCCCTTGGTGCTATTGTAGAGCAGGTACCCTGGCATAACGGTGGAGGCGGTACACAATGTGGTTGATAAGAAAATGATGTGCGAGCCTGGGGCCATGTGCGGAGCGGCAGCCTGTTGTTGTTATCAGCGGCTAGGTCGACACTAGGTAAAAGTGAGGTAAAGAGTTGGCTAGAGGGCTTGCTTACCTGGGCCAAAAAGTAAGGACCCTTCACGTTCAAGGCAAAGGTACGGTCGAAGTCGGCCTCGGTCGTGTGCTCAAGATCCTTCATCGCCAGAACACCGGCGTTGGGCACCAGGATGTCGACTTTCGAGTACGCCTCGACGGTTTGCTTGACGAGCGACTGTACGCCGTCGATGGTACTCACATCGGCGCGTATGAGACGGGCCTCGCCGCTGTTGAGGCCTTGCACCTCGGCGAGCGCCTGGTTGGCCGCCTTCTCGTCGGACGAGTAGTTGATGACCACCGTGGCACCGAGGCGGGCGAGGGCCAGCGCCGACGCTTTGCCGATGCCTTTGGAGGCTCCGGTGATAATGGCGACTTTGCCGCTAAGAGATGAGCCGAGAGAAGCCATGACTAACAGATGAGTTTGGCGAGTTGGCGCGGGTGCTTGGCCGTTGAGAGGAGCTTAGGTTCCAGTTTAGCGCCTTGCCTTTTGAGGAGGATGTGCAAGTTTGCGAAACGCTTGCGAGCGTCGCGAAGGTATGTTTCTAAGTCTCTTGGCGTTGGGAAACAAAGAGGGCACTTTTGGCGAGCTTACCTTGGTCTTTTTAAAATGTCGTCCAGGAAGCAGGGTTGGAGACTGTGGGGAGGGGAGTCAACGGACGTGGCGAACCTTAACTCCGTGGTTATTCATGGTTGGCAAGACATTTCCGGCCCCATCTTCTCGTATCACACGGGACTCCCCCTCAAAATTCCAGCTTATGGAGAAGGCGGGCACATTGGACAATTTAGCGAGTACAAATGAATAACTGGAAAACAACTTCGTCCCACCTCTTCGACCAACTGGGATACTCCAAAACCCGGTAATTACCTCCCTCTAGCGTAACATTACGTCAATACACACGGACCGGAGTACGCGATTAGGATACGCAATTAGGCCATCATTTTTTCCAGCCCCCGCTGCTGATGGTGTCAGGCATTGGGCGAATCCGGCCCATGAAAACGTGCCAGGGAGCTTCTTTGTTTGATGGAAGCATTGTCTATGCTGTTTAGGGCCTTCTTCGCCAGGCTTCTCGATCGGTCAATTCGCACTGCTGTCGCTCTTGAGGTACCTATGTGATGCAAAGAACTGGCTCGTTCTCTGACGGGACAAAGGAACACCCTAAAGGGAGACCACAAACGAAGATGGACGGTTCTTAGTATAGAGAGGGCTTTGGTGTGCTTGACCTCAGCCTAGGTCGCGAGACTTAAACTATATCTACGTTCAAAGCGCTGCACTTCTCTTCCGACGAATCCATCTCCTTGTCGTGACCCTGCACACGGCTCTCCAACTCAGCGATACGCTTCTTGAACTCGGCTTCCTCGTGCCAGGTCAAGGGACTTTTGCTCGCAAACAGAAAGTCCATGGCCTCGAGCGTGCGGCCGGCGGTTTCGGGGAAGAAACAGTAGATGATGGGAATGTAGACTAACATGGCGGCACCAAAGACGTGGAAGGTGTTCTCGCCGATGCCGGCGAACATGATAGGCAAAAGCAGTGAGCCACCGCCAAACCCAATAGCCCAGCCAGCGACGCCGAAAGCGTTGCCCTTGGCACGGAGCCAGGTGGGAAAAATCTCGGTCGGGTAGATGAAAGGAATCATCAGCCAAGACGAGCTGAAGACGAGCACGTAGACAAACACCATGGCAGCCGCTGCGGTGCCGAACTGCTCCTTCTGGTCCGGGTGGTTAAGGGCACCGCGGTTGAGGCCGCCGATGGCGAAGAGGACGATGCTGAGCACGACGGCACCCCAGTAGAGAGTGCTCCTCCGGCCGACGCGGTCCAGCGTGAAGGCAGCAATGGCAGTGCCGAGGATGCCAACCATGCTCATCAGGGCCGAGAGCCAGTTGGACTTGAGGTCGTCGAAGCCGGCCGTGCGGAAGATGGTACCCGAGTAAATCACGACGGCGGCGATGCCGGTTCCGTACTGCATCAGTACTTGCAGCCAAAAGGCCAGTTGAATGCGACGGCCGATGTGGATGTCGCCCGAACCAATGCCGAAGAACATCTGTACATAGTTCATACTGTCGGCCTCCTTATCCATCTCGATGACGGTAACCATCTCCCGGAATTCACGTTGCGCGTCGAGGTGGTTCGGGTCGTCGTTCCCTAGGAGTTTGATGATGATCTCACGGGCTTCCTCGCGGCGGCCAACCTTGATGAGCCACCGCGGCGACTCGGGAATCAAGAGGGACCCGATAAAAAGCAGGACGAGAGGGATGGCCTGGGAAGCGAAACAGAACCGCCACCGAAAGGCGCCGCCCCCGAGCTCGGTGAAGGATGTTCCGAAACCCACCCACGCGGACAAACTGATACCGGAGAAGTTTGCAAGAAAGGTCAGGGCGATATTCTTGCCACGGTGCGCTGCAGGTGATAGTTCGGCGGTCCATGCTGGGGCAATGACGATGATGAAAGCAACGCCGCAACCGGCACAGAGTCGAGCGACCAGTATGTGGGCAAGGTTTACTGCTGAGGCCTGGAGGACGACACCGAGTGTGCACCAGAAGATGGCTAGCCAGAGACCCTTGATTCCTGTACATATTTGTCAGTTATCCGCCGCGGTCGATCTTCGAATGCGTCCCGGAGGTCGGGGAGAGGAAGGTTCGGACGACGTACGTCCGTGTTTATCGGAGATATGACCAGCCCAGAAGGCCCCCAAAAGCGAGCCCGCGTAGTATATGGAGACAATGCCGCCCTGAAGTGATGGGTTGATGACCTTTCCATGCTCGTCGGCGAAGCCCATACGTCGCTGTGAAGAAAAATCAGTTACTTACATGTATCAGTCAGTACCTTGGGCCGGTTTCCGGCTTGGATATCGGCACGGAGCAGGTAAAGACTTACACCATAATCGGGCGCCACATTCACGGCGCCCATTACGCCTTGGCTCATGCCTTCGTAAGCAATGGCTAGGGCAGAGACGGCTATGATCAGGTTCAGCAGCCTCGGCCCTGGGAGTGTCTTCCAGTACTCGCGGTTTGGGAACATGGTGGGGATTGCAATGAAAGCGGATTCAGATGGCAAAGAGAAAGGTGTCGCAACCTGGAAGTGCTCTTACGTGAAGGATGAATGTTGTTGGATATAGTGGAGTGTTGCATCTCTATATATCGATGACTTGAATCTTGGTCTCCGCGTCTACGGCCTGGGGAAGTGAAAATCTGGGGAACGTCCAGGTCCACGCGACATGCACGCGGGGAAGTTCCACAGCCGCGGGCCCGGGCCACTCTGGTACCGCTGCGGTGGAATGGATCACGGACCTGCTTGCCTGGCAGGCCAAGTTTCGGGGATAGAACGAAGGACTGAGGAACCTTTGTGGGTCCTCGTGTCGACGTTTCGTCTCGACTTTCCCATTCGAGTCTAGTTGTTGGCAACTTGGAGAGTCACCTCCACATTTTCGCCATAGTTCCATCCGCGGCATTCAAGGGGCATGCTGACCACAGTTATTTCCGGGCATGTTACTAGTGCTGTGGATCCATGTATAACGACGCTGCCTCCCGCTCGACTCGAGTCTCGAGACGAGTTCTGTCCGCATGCTTACCTTGCTTTCCCATGGGGAACCTACGTTCGAGAAACGGCTGGTTGGTACCATCCTGCCCCAGATCGCAAGCCTGCAGCCGGCTTTACTAACCTTCTTGAGTCTAGTCTCACCTGCCGGTCAAGACATGTTAAATGTTGGTCTGCCGGGATCCTTGCAGCCCTTTGTTTGGTCGCTGACAAGTATTAGGCGATGAAGCACGGCCGATCTGCGGCAACTGTCAAAAGTCCAGCCGCGAGTGCCGGCAGGTAGAGCATCAGGAGACATCAATTCGCTTCCATGATATGAGGAGGCATGCCCGCGCGCCTCGGTCCAGGTCCAAGACGCCGGGTAGCAGCAGTAACAGTAGCGGAAACAGCCCTTCATCCGTGATCCAGCCTCAGGGGAGCCATGATCAAAGTCTCCATGAGGAACAGGCAAGTCCTATGGGCGACGGGCAGAACCCTGGGCAGGAAGTGGTGGCCTCGCAGCCGTTTACTGGCGCCCCCCTGATTTCCATCGCCCAGCTGGTCCACCCGCAACCCGCCTCTCCGGACTTCTTCGTCTCAAGCCCATGGACATCAATGGCGGACCCGTCTCCAGCGATCTCGCCGAAATTTCCACCAAAAATGCTAGTTGGTCATGAGGCAGCCCTGCTGCACCACTACTCGGTACACCTCGGCCGGTGGCTGGACTGCACCGACGCGTCGCGACAGTTTACTCTCAAGATACCCGCGCTCGCCAAGACCCACCCAGTCTTGTTGGAGGCCGTAATGTCGTTCGCCGCCAGGCACATGGGAGACGCCGAGGCCGCGAACTTGGCGCACGAGCGCTGCATCACCGTGCTCATCGTGCTGTTAGGCTCGGAACGAGTGATGGATGACGATGTGCTACTCTGCGCCATTGTCATCCTCCGCGTCTTCGAGCAGCTGACAGCTCTCGGCAATGGGAGTGATCAGGAGCGGCACCTGGCCGGCTGCAGCGCCCTCCTCCGGGCCTGTCAGGGACCCCGGGTTGACCCATCCGCCCCTGGACTGCGCGACGCGGCTTTCTGGGTCTACATGCGCCAGTGTCTGTACAACGCGTGCATCAACCAGCAGGCGCCGAACGTGGACTTTTCGCTAGCCCTGCTTCCCATTCCCACCCCCTTCACACCCGACGACACCCTCCGATGCGAAACGGCGTGGGCCAACACCATGACATGGATCTGTGCCACCATTGTCCAGTTCTGCTTCGGCCCGCATACCCAAGACCACAGCACCAGGATGCCAAGGTGGCAAGAACTGAACGAGGCGGTGGAGGACTGGGCCAGGACACGGCCGTCTAGCTTCGACCCCATCTGGGAGGGCGATGGGTGCTCCGAGGATAGCCCCTTTCCCGAATACTACTTTGCCGCCGACTGGCACGCCGTTGCCTTCGGCTTCTATCACCTGGCCTGCATTCTGCTGATACTATACAAGCCTGCCCCGCGTTTTGCCATCCGAAATGCCCAGGCGCAGGGGTTGCGAACGGAACATGTGAGTTCAAGGCTCTAGGTTCCCCCGTCTTGCAATACTGAGCGGAGCTTAACCGTTCTACCCCCCATAGGCACAGATTTTGGCGCATGCCCGTGGTATGTGCGGGTCCTGCAAGAGCGAGCCCGGCAACGTGCCGGCTAGAATAACCTTGTGTCACAGCCTCTTCCTCTGGGGCGGTCTGTTGGACGATGCGCGCGAGAGGACGTGCTTGGTGCAGCAGCTTGAACAGCTCGAGCGCGACCACGCCTGGCCAACAGCATGGATTATATCATCGCTCAAGAAAGAATGGGGAATATCTGAATCACAGCTGGAACCATAAGGGCGAAATTCCGGATTTACCATGTATGATCTATACTAGTAGCCCTGCCGACATCCCGTCAAACACCGTCCGAAAAGCTAATGACGGCGTATCTCCCGTTCCGTACCCACGCCTTTCCCGGCGCCTCATCCTCAACCCTCTCCATCGTCTCCTTCGTCAGGCCAACACAAACATCCGCCTTATTCGTCCTCAATGCCAGAATCTTCAACCCCCCTCGCAGCGGCCCAATAGCGTCCTTGAACGGCGTTGTATGCGGCCATCGCATCTCGCACCAACTTCCTATAGTTGAGATCACCCTTAAACACGACCAGAGACGAGTCTAAGAGATCTCGGTGCAGCTCCGGCGCTACCTCAGGCAACGCCTGGAAGTCGAAGCCGGTTGTCCAAAACGCATGTTCCGCCACGCTGACGATGCCGCTTTCGCAGCACGCGCGCATCCGCCTAACCAGCTCCTGTACGCTCAGATTGCTGGCACCCGGGAACACGGTGGGATCAGCGAGGGCCGACAACAGCACGTCTATGTCGCGCGGCGTGACATCCGACACGAACCACGGCATGGCCTTGACGTGCAATTTAACGGCCGACGCTAGCCCGGCGTCGAGCAGGTACAGCGCGTAGACCAAGTCGGTGAGCAGCTCGAAGCCCGCGTTGTCTAGGACCACGTCGACGCGGCGCTGCGGTGCGCCCCTGCGGGATCGGAGATGGTCCCACGCCGCCGGCACGTCGTTGCTGACGATGCGGGCCTGGCCCTCGCGGATGGCGGCGCTCCCTTGCAGGGAGCGGAGGTGGTCAAGGCTGTTGTTGGTGAGGGCGCTCAGCAGGCTCAGGTCAGTCACGTTGCCCCAGAGCGCCATCTCGGTCATCTCGGAGAAGAACAGCCTCTCGGTTTCGGCGTCGTCGGTGGCTTTGGCTATGGTGAGGGCGCCGGTTGCTTCGGTGAGCGAAACGTATCGCTCGCTGAGCTCTTGGACGGCGGTGTGGGAGGCGACAAAGGCGCTGAGCTTCTGCCGCGCGAAGATGTCGTAGTCGCGCCAGAACTGGGAGCGGGCGAAGAGTGTTTGCACACATCTGTTCGTGGTGAGAATTGGACCGTGGGGACAAACAAGGAGGGGGAACACTTGGCATACCTGTAGAGATAGCATTCCGCAAAAAGCCACGGGCAATTGTGCCAAGTTATGTTGCCGAAAGACTGGAGCTGTGCGTTGTAGGTTTGAATGTCGGGACAGCCATCCGAACTCAATGGACTAATAGACTTAGTACATCCGGTCAACATCGCAAGGGGGTCGGAGTTTGTGACAAGGTCTTGCCAGGTGCAACCTACTGTAACTGATTGTCCTGCATGATCTCACCTTTGATGATTCTCAGGGTGGCTTGTATACGGCGTCCCTCCTCAACGTGCTCCTTGTCCGATTGCCCAAAAGACTCTTCCAAGTCGTCCACCATGTTTTGCACTATTTTTGGCCACCTAGTTGTCGCCGTTTCGCGGGCCATGGAGCCTTTTTCAGAGGTCCAGACCTCTCTTGGAGGCTCAGGACGGGTGGCAGAAGCCATCTTTGCGATTGATCGGATGCGGGAATGCCAAATCTGTCATCGGGTGAAGTGAAGTTTGCGGGTTGGTTGGACCAGCTGCAAGTAAGAGAACTAGAGGGGTCGGGTATTCTTTTCCTCGAAGTAGGAGCTTGAGAAAAATTCACGATCAATTTTAACTTGTATCTGAGATATGTAGATGAAGCCAGCCGGTGAAGACAAGGTCAAACGCTGGTCCGCAGTTGTGGATCACTTACACGTTATGGGGCAGTATCCTACCCCGATTAGGGAACTCGTGTCGAAACCCATCGAGACGAGGAAGCTGCCGCGAGACTCTTGGCACCATGTCTCGTTACGTCTCGTCTCGAGATAGTTCCACGCCAAACTCGAGGCCGCCTCGGCACGACATCCGTTGTTGCTCTCAGTCGAACCCGATGTCCGATGCGGGGGATCCGGCCCATGTCAACAGAACGAAGGGCCGAGAAGAAACCCGAGGAATTAGGGAAGTGGTTTCCCAGAGATATGTATATAATAATGACATGACCATCGTGAGAAGTGTTGAGGAAGACAGATCCAGCAACAATCTTTTGGCGTCTTTTATCCCTAGAGACAAGACCTCAATGGGCTCCCTACCAGATATGGACCACTCCGACCTCAACGGCCCTGCCACCAATGCGGCTCACAGAAAGGGCAACGGTTGTTCCCCAGATAAAAGAAACGGCGTTCATAGGCGCGCCGACGGGTCGTTGGACCTAACGGTGCTTGGAATGAACAGCGGTACCGCCATGGATGGTATTGACTGCGCACTCGTCCGGTACCGACAGAAATCCCCGACCGCTCCCCTTCACATGGAGGTTCTGAAGGTATGTGAACAACACTTTCTTGCCGCGCCCGTGGTTAGACATTCCACTCATGTGGCTCCATGGCGAGATAGTACGACGAAATACCTGTACCACAGCGGATGAAGAAGCCCATCCTGAAGATGCTCCGCGAGACCAAAACAACACCGAGTGCCATATCCCAACTGAACGTCCAGCTCGGCCAGATGTTCGGAGATGCCGTGAGCGAGTTTTGCAATAAGCACCACATCGATATGGGCAGCATCGATCTCATCGGCTCGCACGGCCAGACCATCTGGCTGCTCAGCATGCCCAAGGAGGGCGAGACACGCTCGGCATTTTGTCTGGGCGAAGGCACCATCATTGCCGCCCAGACAGGCATCACAACCGTCACCGACTTCCGACAGGCCGAGCAGTCTGTCGGCCGTCAGGGCGCGCCGCTGGTCGCACTTATCGACGGCCTATTGCTCCACCATCCAACCAAGACCCGGCTGTGCCAGAACATCGGCGGCATCGCCAACCTCTGTCTGATCCCGGCCGACCGCGACGGCGGCGTTGATGCCATGATTGACTGGGACTGCGGGCCGGGCAACATGTTCATCGACGCTGCCATGAGGCACTATACCAACGGCGAGCAAGAGTACGACAAAGACGGCCGGTGGGCCGCACAAGGCACCGTCAATCAAGCCATTGTCGACGACTTCCTCTCCAACAACAACTACATTAACCAACACCCACCCAAGACCACGGGGCGCGAAGTCTTTGGCGACAACGAATGCTACGAGATCATCGCGGCATGTGAGGCGGCCGGCTGCAGCCCCTACGACACCGTAGCAACCGTAACACGCATTGCAGCGAAAAACGTTGTGCGCCAGTACCGGACTTTCCTACCCAGCTACGGAATCGACCCGGACAGCATTGACGACATCTTTATGTGCGGTGGCGGCGCGCACAACCCCGAGATCGTAGACTACCTACGGCAGGAACTGCCGCGTGCGCGGATTTGCTCGCTTGACGAGACG